TAAAAGGAGAACAGAAGTGAGGGGGGCACAGAGGGAGGGGGGGGGGGGGGGGGGGGGGGGGGGGGGGGAGGAATCCCACAGCTTATTAGGTAAAAATACAGTAATTTTCATGTTGTTGTTGCATTTTGCAGACCTGATGATTGAAATGGAAGACCACACGAACGAGTTGAGCGAGGGACGAATCCCCTTCCTGGACTACAAGACCTACACCGACCGGGTCTTCTTCCTGCCGTCTAAAGACGGAGCCAATGACGTGATGATCACAGGGAAGCTGGACATCCCACAGGCCCGCAGGGCGACCGTGTCGCAGGCGCTCAACCAGTTCTCCAACCTTTTGAACTCCAAGACGTTTCTGATTAACGTAATTATACCTAAAAGTTACTTTCCAGCAGACCAGAGTGGTTAGTTTACCACTTTAATCCAGATGCTAGAAGTTAGCCCTACTTTTTATTCCAAGTGGTTTGCTATAAACTTTGAAAAGAGCTGCTAAGCTTTTTGCACAATATTTTTATGCTTCTATAAACTTGGCGAGAAATCAATATGTTAGATGGATCAAGACTAGGAAAATTAGGCTTATCACCTTGGATTATTCCAACATTGTAATCTCAAACTAAGTTCTTACTCCTGGTAATATTCTACTACATTAAATATTAAAGTCTTTTAGCGTTTGCGAAGTTTAGGACTAACTCTTTTTGTTGTTTTTCTGTCGTTTTGTCAACACACTATCTGCACTGTACACTTTATAATACTACTGCACCATTTGACTCGTGTTCATCATCAAAATGGATAAAAACAATCAACAGTCCACATTTAAATCTACATCTCTTGCTCATTTTCATAAATGTCATTTCAAAGGACAGGCAGTGGTTGTGCCACCTCTGTGGCAGAACAAACTTGCAGCAAAGCACAGCTGAAGACGTGCATTTATAATGCAGTTGTTTATGCGCAGACAGCTGCAGAAACACTCACCATTTGTTCCTGTGACAGTTTTCATTTGGAAGATCTCCCACCCGCATTTATCTCCGGTGTTATTTTGCGGGCCCGTCGGATAATATCTGCAACTTTTTTTTCTTTTCAGTTGTGTTCTCGCTTGAAGCGCCTGAACGTTTTCAGTTCCATGTTTGAATTTATGATACGTGGGAAAAAAAAAAATGTGTAAAATGAAAGGAGTGACGTCGCCTACGGAACACTGAACTTTGGGTATCGATGCGTACGACGATGACAAAAATGATTGTTGGCAGTGATCAGAAAGATCAAAGGAAGAAATCAGGATTGTATTTTTGGAGTTTAACTCTGAGTTTCCATGTATTTCATCACAGCTGTGAATGTCCTCTGGGACCAAAAACGAAATTAAAAAGCTTTTCGGTCAAGGATAAATCATTTAAGTATCACTTTTCACTGTATTTTTTGTGCCATGGAGTTAATATTTATATTAAACTGATTCAGTTTGGCACCTTCTATCTACATTGGTTTTGAAAACCCAGCTTAACTCCTGTCACTGTGTTGAGAGTGAAAATAGAGTCTATTTTAAAGTCAGACTGCTGGCCTTTAAATTGAGGGCTGTCATGTTCTAGATGGTGATACGGCATCAGAATAGCAGAAGACTGAGCTGGGAGATACGTGTGAAGCTTCCTATTAATCCAATATTGCTGGCACAGAAACAACCTCTGAGGTGTTAATGGTGTGTGTGTGTGTGTGTACGTGCGCGCGCGCGCGTGTGTGTGTGTGCAGGGGGATTCTTCTCCCGCTAATTGGGATCATTTCTAAGCCACAATGTCTTTACAGGGCAAAACTAAAATTACCTTGATGATTATAATTTTCCCTGGCATTAGTCATTTGATAATTTAAAAGCACATCATGCAGGATTCGCTTGAGCGTGAGTAAGCCTCGTCGCCATCTTTAATTCACTCCATCCTCCGCCTGTGTCTGCATGTTGCAGTTTATCCGCACCTTGGAGCGCAGTCACGACTTCAACGCCAGGGCCAAGGTGTACTTTGCCTCCCTGCTCACCGTGGCCCTGCATGGGAAGCTGGAATACTACACGGACATCATGAGGACGTTGCTGCTGGAGCTGATGGAGGAGTACGTCCACAGCAAGAACCCCAAGCTGATGCTGCGCAGGTGAGTGCGAGCCAGCTGCACGCGCTGCTTTGTGTCAAACTTCCGACTTTTTAACTTGCACTTCCAGCAGCTCAAATTTGACATAAGTAAAGTATCTTTCGTTTGACAAGATTGGTTGCCACCACATTTATTCAAGATTTATTAGTAGTATTCTCCTTTTTTTTTTTTTGCCCCTGCAGGATCAGGAGAACAGCTAATAGGTGGATATGAAATTTTCTGATAAACTTAGTCAAACTTTCTCACGGGTCGTTAAAGGTCTTCGTGCTGAAGCTCTGTGAGGCGTCTCTCCATTTCTAGACTTTCGCACCGATCTCGTCGGCCAGTTGAGGCGGACTGGGAATCGGCTCAAGATGCATCGGACTGTTTTATTCCGGTGCCATATTTTCGGTTGAATTTCGCACTGACTACTGTAGTCCTCTTTGAACGAGCCAGACTGCAGCTCGGTCTATTCCAGTCCTCCTCCTTCTGTTCTTCCTTCTGTTTTTCTTTTCTGTCCTTGGATCCCACCGCAGTCCTCACAGATGACTGTTGTTCATCTTTAGCATCTTTGATAACGTCTAAAATGTTATTTCTGACCAGATTACCACTCGTAAAACTCGTAATAAATCTACAAATAACTTTTTTTTTTTTTACAGAGTTTTGCTTTTAAAATCTTTAATTAGAAAATGAATTATGTATGAAACAGTTTGAAGATAAGAATATCCACAGTGACTTTAGTCGTCATTGATAGAAACATCTGGTGTAGATTCTCACTCGATAAGGACAGGACAATCCTCAGCGTTTAATTAGAAGTCAGTAGAATTGCTTCCATTTTTTAATTTCTTTGAAGATGTTTCAGCTTTCATCCAAAAAGTTTCTTCAGTTCTCCAACGTGGTTTGAAGGAACATGGCTTATGAATTTTATTCGGAACTGAAGTAGCAATTCGAACATGTAAGTCGTTCGCTCAAAGTTTGTTGTTAACGATATGAAAAGATTAAGTCAGATTTCATCTTTCCAACACCTACTCTGCAACTCTGAGTCTTCATCTAAGTGTTTTTTTTTTTTTCTTTAACCAAAACAACTCGCATCGTTCGGGATATGTTTCGATGGTTGAACAACGATGTGAATATTGTGCTGAATAAAAGGTTGGACCAGCAGTAACTTGCATGTTCTAATTGTCCCATTAGTGACTTAAAATGCCCTATTAATGTTATTGTTCAAACTACAATTTATTATCTTGTTGCTTCCAGAATATTCAGAACTGAAGAAGCCTTTTGGATGAGAGGCGAAACATCTTAAAGGATTAAAAGATGTGAAGTTGCTTTGTACTGGAGCACTTAGGAATGTCAGGGATGACTGAGTATCTACACCAGACATTTAACATAAATGTCATGTTAATTGCAATGAACTTTGAAAACAATAATAAGCTTCACAAGAGTGAATTTGTGACTTTCTCCAACCCCGAGTCCGTATATATTGGAGAGGAAATCTACTGTCAATACAAATTGAATTTCACTTAAGTTACAAGTTGTACAATCATCCCACCTTTGCAAAAGGACCATATTAAAATACTCAAATAAAAAGTAATGTGACGCACACACCTGTGATGATTTGACGTAAACCTGGGACCAGAACTATCCGATTTGCATCAAAACATTCCCAAATGCTGTTTTTAATTTAATAATGTTGACTTTAAAATCTGAATTTTTTCCCCTTTTTTTGACTTTGCTAACTAGATTAGTCTTTTAAAATTCTTCTGTTGTTTCAAAAAAAAAAAAAAAAAAAAACTGATTTTTTTGAAATGCATCATCCTCGGCGCAGTCCAGGCTGCTTGTCTGTTTGGTGTAACAATGCCGTCGGTGTCAAATCGTCTCCTGATTACTCAACAGTCGCTCGTCGCCCCTGAGACGGGGTTACGCGATCCGGACTGTCTGCTGTGCCGAGGCAGGCTGCGACTAGCTGCAAGCAGCAAGTGCACATCCTAATTATTCCCCAGCGGAGAAGCTCATTATGTTGATTAGGCCATTGTACAAACACAGGCCCCTCTTATACACAAGACATCTAATTAGGTATGCCACAAGTTAACAATGGGTGTCACCCGCCCGTCAAGTGACCGCTGACACGAGATTTTGATTAAAATATCTTGACGCTGATTAGCTGTTCAGAAAACGCTCGAGTGTTTCGGCATTTTCAGGAGCACAAAATGGAGATGTTTGCTGTTCCGTTTTATTTATCCTTAATGTTGCTTTCAGTGGTGGTGGTTTATTTATTTATTTATTTATCTTTTTTTTTTTTTTTAGAGTTAGCTAATCGATCTGGAACTCGAACAACCCTTATGTAAATAATTGAATCTGTCCATGAAATTTCCACTCTGATCAGCCATCCATCTCATTGCCATGCGCTCAGTTGTCTGCTCATGCATTTCAAATTAAAACTGATATTATTTACAACCTTGATGTTTTCATCTCATCTGTTTTTCAGATCAGAGACGGTGGTGGAAAGGATGCTTTGTAACTGGATGTCCATCTGCCTTTACCAGTTTTTGAAGGTAGCAGGATTTATGTTTGGCACCGTAGAATCCCATTAAATCGGTTTTGATGACTGAGGAGGTGAAGGCATATTAATTGGTCTTCGCATCAAAAGAAAAAAAAAAAAACACAAAAAATACAGTATTAAAAATCAACTTTCAGTAACTCCTCTGCAGCACGACGGGGGCAAAAACAGCAATAAATTAGCATCGGCTGCTGCTGTATGAGCAGGAGCGATGGAGGATGAGTTACAACAATTTTTCATATGTGCGCTTATTAAACGAGGCATAGATCTGAGGTTACATCTTCTTCAAGACATACTGCAGATTTTTGTTATAAATGTTAACCAACATAAGCAACTGTGATTAACATGGGATCGTTCTGGGGATGTAATTAATACCCGAGGAGCAGTAACATAGTGATTTTGGTTCAAAATGAAATATGTTCCTCTTTGATCAACTTACATGGTGTTTTGCACTCTTTTTATATAAATAAAAGCACATGATGGTGATGAACTTTTAGATTCTTGCTAAATATTAGCAACAGAAAAGATATTCCCTTTGACATTTGAAATAAAGCGTTTAGATACTCTTCACAATAAAAGGAAAAATATTGCTTTGATAAGAATACTGCAATCATCAGTGATGTTTGACAAACAAAATTAAACCACTGGCAAAAAACAGGCTTGTTAGCCTTTGAAAATAAAGCGTATAAATACTGTCATATATAGATTTCCATATCTGTCACGTTGTTCTGCAGTTGTAGGTTCTACGTTACTAACGGCATAAAACCAGCAATAAAAACGGGATTACTAATGTTTCAAAAATAAAAGATAAATAACTCAAAAGTTAAACTGTAGAAGTGGATCTATATTAGTAATTGATTGAAAGCAGTGATGAAAAATGAAATGTAGCCATTTTAAAATGGAGCTCATACATACTCAGTTATTCATGTTATTCTTTCAAGATTGTGGGTTTTAAAAGACAAGCCTCGATATTTTATAGATAGTTACTGTACAAGTATATTCTGCACTATTAATTGAACTGAAGCAGTGATGTAAAGCGGGATTCTTTCAAAATAAAACTCATGCTGAAGCTACGAAATGAAATCCTTTTTTTTTTTTTTTTTTTAATTGATTGTAAAGCTCGGCTCCACATTACTAATGGACCCCAAGCCATTCTTGAAAAAGTGATTAACCTTCCAAGTTAAAGTTCCCTGACACTTTTCAAAATAAAAGTCATGCTTTGTCATGTTTGAGTCATTACCAGGGTAATGTTCAGATTAATAATGAGCTTTTTAAAGGAAAACAAGCAGGCGTTCTCTGGTTTGATGTTTGCGTGAATGTTGTGAATTTGTCTTGTGAGTCGTCTGACAACAATTAACTTCCTGATAATATCAGAGAAAACCTCCCCTAAGTGTTTTTATTCGTGTGTGTGTGTGTGTGTGTGTGTGTGTGTGTGTGTACTAGGACACTGCAGGCGAGCCCTTATACAAACTGTTCCGAGCCATCAAGCACCAGATTGAAAAGGGGCCTGTGGACGCCAGAGTTAAGAAAGCCAAGTACACCCTCAACGACACTGGCCTGTTGGGCGACGATGTCGAGTATTCTGTACTGGTGAGATAAACTCACACACACACACACATCCACATACATCTTCGGAAACCCTGTCACAAAGACTGCACACACACCGCTTTCTGATTACACAGTGTTTCATGCGTGATGGGCTACAGAAACATGCTCACACACATGCTCTGTGGTGTTGCCATGGTAGCCATACACAGGAAGAAATGTTAAGGCGACAAGCCTGCTTTTATGTGACATCCATTTCCAGTTGCCAGTGTTCTCATTCTTAAAAGAGAGCGGAAAAAAGAAAAAAAAAAACATCCCTAGCGACTCATTCCAGTATAGCGGTAAAACGTGTGGTTTAGGTGAGCACAGTACAAGTCTGAACAAGAATGGAGTACAAGCCCCCTCGGCGACCTTTCCTCGACCTTGGCACCTGCGCGTGCTCTGCATCCGTTTGGGTAGCTTTCAGGAGTAAGGGGCGGGGGAAGCCTGCACTTTTCATTTTAGTATTGTGTTTCAATAATGGACACTAATCTGAGCACAGCTGTTTTCTGTTAAAGTCAGCACAAACAAAAAGACCCATGGGTAATGGCATCGTCGAGGACAATTATCAAATTAGGCTGAATTACACGTCTCCCGCTGTGATGGATCGCCTTCTGTGATTTAATTTCACGGGGAAGGGAGAGGTGGAGGGGGGAAAAAAACAAAACAAAAAAAACGAAACGAGTATGATTTCGCAGGCAGATGCCCCACTATCTGCCCGCGAAATCTTTACCTCTGCCTTCAGTCCGCAGCGTGTTCACGTCAAATACAGATCAGTTTTATGAGCTTTCAGCTGTGAATTTCTTTGCTCCCTGTCCACTGAGTGGTCAGTTATCTCTAATAGCTGGCAGAGTGTAGTAGGTGACGTGGGTCAGGGTTTTCTCCAGCTGAGTCCTGGTCATTAGCCAGCCAAGGTGACAAAAGTCATGTCAGGTATCAGTGCAGCGTGTGTGTGTGTGTGTGTGTGTGTGTGTGTGGGTGTGTGTGTGCGTTGAAATGCCCGGTTGCCATAACGGTAGCATCCCAATTGGCTGCAGATGTGGACATTTGTCTGCATGCTTTTAATTCTCAGTACTCCATGGTGGTACGCATGTTGTCTCCGGCTCGGTAACGATGTGTATATATATCTGTGTGTTTACCTGTCAGACCCTGCAGGTGCTGGTTCAAGGTGAGGGTCCGGACGTGACACCCGTCAAGGTGCTGAGCTGTGACACCATCTCACAGGTGAAGGAGAAGATCATAGAGCAAGTATACAGGAACCTGCCTTACTCCCAGAGACCCAAGGTGGACAGCGTCACTCTGGGTAAGCATAGAAGAGGCTCTAATGAGTCCTGTGACATGGCGCCCTCTTGAGCTTATGCACATTGGTCATGTCAACACCACAAACCTGGACCAACACACAGTAGCTCATAGCTGTGAAAAAGAAAATGGTTCTTGTTTTTTTTTTTCTTGTAGAAATAAATATCTCAAGTCTTTCTGACATTTGTATTCAGCCCCATAAAGAAAATTACAACTACTGTAATGAGTCATCTACAGAGTCAATAATGTCCACCTGATGTTTATTAGAGAACATTAGTGAACAAACTTTATCATGCAGACCAAGGGACACAGCAGACGGGTCACAAGTGTGGAGAAATTTAAAGCAGGTTTGGTTATAAGGCTTTGAAAAACTCGTTAGCACTATTTGGGTAAATGCAGAATAATACATGAAATATAAAAAAAATAAAAATTAAGATTGAGACAGGGGAGGAGGTTCAACAACCTGAAAGCCAGAGCAACAATTTTTGTCTTTTTAGATCAAATCAAATTTGGTAGAATGGTCCAGTCAAAGCCCGAAGTTTAATTCAATTGAGAATTGTGACAAAATTTCAATGTTGCAGTTCAGTTCTTGTTGGTTAAATTTGGTTAAATGCAGACTAATTCACAATAAATGAGCAAAAACAGCCTCTGGAAGTACAAAGTTTGTGAAGAAAAGAACAAAGTGTTGATTTAGTGAAGCCGCATACAGAGTGCATGCCACATTTTAAAAATAATTTTGTAAAAAGAAATAAAAGAACTAACTTGAAAAGCCATCTATGCTTTTCTATCCACTTCAGTCATGTGCTGTTTGTGTTTCCCGCCAGTAAAATCCCAGTGAAGTGTGATCTACTCTGAAGCTGCGATGTGACAGCCATTGTAAAGGTTTCAAAGTATGAACACTTTCACGAGGCACTTCAGATAAGCAGTTGTAAAATGATAAAAAAATCCCAAATATTTTCATTAAGATTAAACAAAGCCTTATTTTGTTGAACGTTTAACTTCATTTCAGCAACATGAAGAAATCCTTCATCCTTTAACTGAGTTTTTCTCTCCAGTATAGTCAGGAACCGTTGGGACCGGCTTGAAAAGGCTAAAGCTCCACAGACACTCCATAACATCAAAGCCACTCGCATCACGCTCTAGATCTAATTTCTCGAGACGTTTCCGATAGAGAGCCATCTTTGTTCGCGATTAATACAAAGATGGCTCCCGTATATTTGCTGAACTCGCAAGTGAATCATCCAGCACATCACGTGCGTTGTCAAGTCTGCAGCGATGCAGAAAATGTTGGGGTGCAAAACACAGATTTTAATTAAATCTAAATTATTCATAAGACTGATGTCTTTTCTACACTCCCAACTTCCTCGTGTTGTGCTTTTGAAACCCCTGCAGAAAGCTGAGTGCCTGCCTTGAATAACATAATTAGTGTACTTACTTAAAAAAAAAAAAGAAAACATACATTTTTTCCAAAGTTTTTCCATCCTTTTCCCATTGACAGAGTGGCGTCCCGGCTCAACGGGACAGATTTTATCCGATCTGGACCTGACCTCCCAGAAAGAAGGCAGATGGAAACGCATCAACACTCTGGCACACTACAATGTGAGTACCGGCAAAATATTTAATCCTAACTTTAAATGCAGTAGCTTAACAATCACTGTTGCAAACAAACAAAAAAAAAAAAAGGCTTTGGATTTGATAAGAATGTGGGGAGATGAGTAGATAAACGTGGGTGTGTAGAAGCGAATGGAGCCTAATATTTTCACTTCAGTCAGTCTTAGTTGCATATTGGAGCGATTTGCATGAAATCTGTCTGCAGCAGATTTTCTGACCTGAATACATTAGCACATATTGAGTTATTGTTTGTTCTTATCACAAAACTGCCAAAGGTTTGAATTTTACACCATTTCTTGCTGTTGCGTGTACGAGTGGAAATAAAGAACAAAAAAGAAGAAGAAGAAGAATACATCTGTTCTTCAATTCACAATCTGTCATCTCTAATATGAAGTATTTAGGGCAAAATAAGTCTCTCTACCTGTTAGCTAAATAGCTTCAAAATCTACGTGCAAAGTTGACGTATGACACACAACACAGCGGCTGTGACTCTTTGCCATATTTTATGTCTGTCAAGTCACTTATTGGGGGGAAAGAATTACCATAATGAGGGGGAAAGAGGGGATTCATGACAAGGACATTTCTCTTCACTCCTGCTTATGACCCCCACAGAGCACTGTGTTGTAAATTTAATGTAAAAATTCTGCCTCCATAAATATCCTACACATATATTCAGACAAATATTCTGGGACTTTTTATGCCATATATAACAAGATAGCAGTCAGTGGACATAATTGATGGTTGAGAAAATGTGCGCATCATGAAGAAGCTTGGAGTTTTTCTCCATGTTGCTACCTGGCTAAATAACTAACTAACTAGCTAGCTAGGATATTATCAAACTCAACCACTTCTCTTTAGACTTGTGCTTTTTTTTCCCCAGACCCTCCCTGCTTGCCAGTTTTGGTTTCCCATTGAATGTCACTAAATCTTCTCGCCACTGTATCGATCGTGAGACAATAAAGGTCACGGCGGTAATATCCCCTGCTTGCCGTGCTTTTCGGCTACTTAAATCCTGATCTTTCAGAGCGGACTTGGCCTCCTTTGAGCCTACCTGCCTCTCCGTTGTTCTCAGACCTCGGCCTGACTGCCATGGATTCATCGCCCGTGTCAGAGTGCTGCTAATCACACCGTATGTGCGGTCAATAACGGGGTGTGCCGCAGTAACCGGCCTCTAAATATCACGGTTAAGACCCACTGTTCGTGTCTGCTCAGTCACATTGATTGGAAGTAAATTCTGGGCCAAACAAATGGGATGGAGAAACACAGTTGAAATACAGCCAAGGGCCTTGTTCCAGCTACCAAATCCAATGTGTCCTATTGGGATTTTATGTGACAGACCAGCATAAAGTAGTTCATATGTTTTCTAAAAGAAATAAAATTCTAATTATTTTTCAAAAATATGCATAGATATAGCTGTTCACCTAAACTGTAAGTCTTTCTGGAAATGTGTCAAGAAAAGGAAGCTGTGTTCCTGTTGTTGGCATTTCGCAGCAAGCCGTGTAGGGACACGGTGGGGGGCTTTTTTGTTAGCATGGACATGGACTTAATGGGGCTGAACATAAATATGTATCGTACTTCTTACACTTGATGTAAATGTTTTGTCTATGGAACTGAATCACGATAAAGTTCTGCTTTTGACTGCATTTGAGTGTTGTTACAAGCCAATGCGTTTATCAAAATCAAAAGTCATATTTTCTGACATTTGCGCGTTGCAGGTACGAGACAATGCCACGTTGGTTTTATCCAGAGTGCTTCACACACAGCAGAACTACGACCAGAACCAGGAAAACCACGAAGAACGTAAGTATCCGTCAGCACACACAATGAACACGTACGATCCAAAAGATCAAACATATCACGGCATTTGGATTATAATACATTTCTTTGTCTTATTTTCTTTGGGTTCCTCAAAAAATATCCCCACTCTCATTAAACATGCTAATATATGTTTTATGTATTCCAGTCTTTTGTATTATGCTGAAACTGTATGCATTTTTATTCTTTTTTGGGGACACATTTCATGAGAGCTGTTTATCTTGTGTTTGCTTTCTTTCAAATCTGTCTGAAAATTCCCCCCTCATGTTTATTCATCAGAAATGTACTGAGGTAGTGAAACGGATCTGAAGTAAAAGTTTGAACTTTTCGTCTTTCCGCAACAGGAAACGCTCTGTTGGACGACGACAAAGTTTTCCATCTGGTGAGGCCGCAGGACGAGCTGGATGAGATCAAATCCAAACGAGGGAGCATAAAGGACAAGTCGATGACCAAAGCCATTACAGAGATCTACCTGACTCGACTTTTGTCTGTAAAGGTCAGACAAACACAAAACTGTACATACCTCCTGACATTGGAGCATTTTGGGGGTCCAAATGGTATCAGATGATCAGGAAGGAACAGAAATGTTCTAAGCTCAAACCCAGTGTTTTTTTTTTCTCCCAGGTCCGTCTCGGAGCTTTAACGTCGATAACCGTCAGCTAACTCGTTTCGCTTTCTGTCCGTCCGCTTTCAGGGAACGCTGCAGCAGTTTGTGGACGACTTCTTCCGCAGCGTGCTGTGCTCCGGGGCCGTGGTCCCACCTGCTGTCAAATACTTTTTTGACTTCCTGGATGAACAAGCGCTAAAACACAACAATGTTGACGAGGAGACCATCCACATCTGGAAGACCAATAGGTAAGAAGATGGGAAACATATTGTACTTCAACCAGATTCTCTGCTGCTTGTTCTGTTCTGATCAGGTGAAATAACATCAACTAAAAAGAATCGATCATTTTTCTAGTTTTTAATAAAACATTGACATTTTTTGATGCTTCAAATGTAGCAGACACTCCAGGCTTTTAAGTCGTTCTAATGGTTAAGAAAGCATTAACGTTGTCAGATTACATTTGATTGCTAAGAGAAAACATGTCAGTCAGGCTGTTTTTTTCCCCCACAGATATTCTGTATCCAATAAAAGCCTGTGCTTGCTTTATTGCTCTGTACTTACCCGGACTAGAGGCAGACTGACTCGCAATATCAGAAATCATATTTTCCCCGCATTTCCTGCAACCCGAGATTAACACACAAACGAACAGCGAGATCCACCTAATACTTGTTGCCTAGATTTTACTGTTTCATCAAATACTTATTTTTGTAGTTTTCCCACTCAGTCGTACACCAGCAGCATATCCCCAAAACTTGCATCTTCTAGACCAAACGCTCGCTATAATTAGACTCTCTTTCACAGAAAAGAAGCCGGTGTATAAATCACAAGGACCTTTCCAGCTTCTACTCGCCTCATTTATCATCCTTGTCGTTTGCGGAACATTGTCCACTTGACGGTAGAAGAGGGTCCAGCTCCATTCTGCGAGATTGCTTCAGGAATGTGACTTTACCTTGTAAACCGCTGTAGCCACTTTCTCCCACTTATCTCGGATCACTGTCCACTTCTACCTGGACCTGCTTGGTCTCGTTGGTTTATGCTGTGGCTTATTTGGGACTCCTCGCGAAAAGATTTATTGCAAAGGTTTTCCACACATGAAGTTCGGTTTCCCTGGGGTAATGATATGGCGTGACACAAAGGCCTGTTTCATTAAGCCACTGACCCCACGGTGAACCCAGTTTCCATAGCAACCACTAGACAAGGCCTGCATGACGACAAGGTGTTTGGAACTTGCGCCTTTCCTCTCTCACCATCACAAACGTAAACACATGGAGCGGACCTGCTCATGCTTCAAAAAGATGTGCTCGGATTAATACGTATCTTTTAATGTTTCTTTAGATGTGCATGTTGTTTCTCAGCAATAAAATGTGAACTTGCAGCATCACCTTATGAAACACAGTACAGTACAAGCATTTGCCCACATTTCAGACCTTCTTTGACTAACAAAAACACAGCTGGAAGTCTTCCCAGCAGCGATCTGACTTTTTTTATTATTATTTCTTCTTCTCTCTCTCGCGCTCTCTCTCTGATACAATAACTCTCTAAGAAATAAAAACTTACTTGTTCCGGGAAGCGCAGAATGCAAATGCGCGATTTGAGCGTACTTGGTTTTGCATTTGCAATCTCTGCGCTCCCATGTGACATTTAAGTGCATAAATTAGTGTCGCGTCGGCTGAGGCTCAAGCGCACAAGACGACGTGTTGCATGTAGATGGCCGTGATTGACGCGCCGCCGGCTGGAGAGCAGCCGCACAAGGACATGAGATGAGCGATTTAATTACTTACTATACTCTACGCCCAATTCTGCATCCACCCGTTCTGTTTATCAAGTCAACCGAGGGCCGTGTATTTGATATGAATGTGTGTACGAAGCATAGCAAACAAACAAACATGGTAATTATTTCCCAAGCTAAATTAATTCTGTGATTATAGTAACAGCTATTTTTATGCTTCTATTGTATTCTAACCGAAGCCTTCCCAGAAGATATTACCAAATCAGGATGAATTTTACACGCCGCGCGTCTCTCCTCTCCCAGATGTCGGGGATGTTTGCGGTGATCTGGGAGGAGATGGGGAGGAGGAGGAGGAGGAAGGAGCTGAGGAAACTGCTGTATTTTCGGGCGTTTTTCATGAATTCATAAGATGAGAGGGAGAGCGGAAAGAAGAGCACTAAGCGTGTGTTTTTTTTTTGTTTTTTTTTTGTTTTGTTTTGTTTCGTTTTCAGGAGGGAAATTAGCACAAGCGCCGGGGCGTTACATTATGTAGTCTGGTCTTTACGTTAAGCCGCGCAGGAGCTGAAAAGGTCAACGTGCTGCAGCTACTTCGGCTTTCTTAATCTCTGTTTGTTAGCGTGGAGGGAGCGTGGACTTACAGTGAGGTCAGCTCTGAGCAAAACGCTAAAATAAACAGGCAGTAAAAGGCTATTGTTCTGAATAACACTGACGCATACAAAGCAGGCTTTTCTCCACCCCTGTTATTACCTTCTGCTGTAGTCGGTTCAAACCACAGACGAATGCTCTTTCCCGCCGGCACGCCTCCTCGACTTACATCAGTTTAACCATCGAGATTTCCCTCAAGTTTTAAAGTGTTAATGGTGATAATCACAGTGATTTTAGTTTTTTTGTTGTTTCCTCCTTCACTTGTCCAGCCTGCCACTGAGATTCTGGGTGAACATCCTCAAGAATCCCCACTTCACCTTCGACGTCCACGTGTCTGAAGTGGTGGACGCGTCGCTGTCAGTCATAGCCCAGACGTTCATGGATGCTTGCACCAAGAGCGAGCACAAACTCAGCCGGGTGAGTAGGCCCAAATCAGAGGAGTGGGAATGAGGTGCAAGACAAGATGAAAGAATATACAGGAGCATGTCAATGAATTAGAATATCATCGGTCGGTTCAAGTATGTCAGTGGTTGTAAATCAGAATGTGAACGTCTGATATAGACACCAGGAGGGATATTTCAGCTGTTTTGTTTTTGGTTTTGTTTTTCTATCAGCTGGAAGAGTCAAAATTGGGATGTGTGTGTGCTGTAGCTCTTCAAACGTCGATTTCACGCATTTTTCCCAAACTCCCAATTGGGTTTCTATTCACAGTCCTCAGAAGGCTGTGGTTGTCCCTGCTTGTGAGCCCTGTTGCACCACACTTTTTCCTTTCACTGAGCTTTCCATTAATTCACTTTGACTTTCTTTGGGAGTTGTCGTTTGTGACATCCCCGACCTACAGAAAGTGTCAGTGACTCTGCTGGACAACTGTTAAGTCAGCAATCCTCCCTATGATTATTCAGGCCATAATGTTGCACATCTGCACTGAAAACCCTCTAAAATTGGTATTTTGTAATGTTCTCATTTTCTTTCATTGCATGCAATAGTCCTAAAAACTGGTTTATAGTTAAAATTGATGCTTACTGAATTTGACATGTAGATGTATGTACTTTTAGTCATGCTTTCATTTTTTTATTTCATCTACAGGACTCTCCAAGTAACAAACTACTCTATGCAAAGGAGATCTCCACCTATAAGAAGATGGTGGATGAGTAAGTGTGGTGCTCTTTACTCTCCCATCTGTTTTCATGTCGAGTTTAAAATCCTCCAGATTTCCCCGAGACCATTTTTTCTTTCCTTTTTTTTTTTTTTTAATAGCAGTTGCATAACAGAGTGATTACAACCTCTTGTCGGTTCTTTATGTGTGTGCAGCTACTACAAGGGCATCAGGCAGATGGTCCCTGTCAGCGATCAGGACATGAACACTCATTTGGCGGAAGTGTCACGGGTGAGAGACGCATCTGTCATTATCTTTGGCTCGTGGTCGACCTTGCTTTAAATGTTTTAAGCCCAGAACGATGCGGCGAGCCCAACGGGTTTCCACCCTGTTTAAAAGAGAAAATGTTACGCGGTACATACACGTTACGAGGGGAGGCATTACATTTCTCTATCAATTTAATCTTCAGTTTTTTGTTTTTTTTTTGTTTTTTGTTTTTTTCCCAGCAACGGTTGTTGCTTTATTTTAAAGCATGCAATTTTCTTGCAAAATGCACCCTGACAGTTTTGTTTAATCCCGTTGTGATGTGTTCACATCCACATCCCTCAAGTTATTTTCAAAATGACTGGTGCAGACAAATTTCTTGGCGCCCCTTGAAAGAACGTGTAAAAAGACTCACGGCATAGACTCACAGTGATTTATACTGATAAGTTCAACTTTAAATTCGACTGGTTTGGTGCCACCAACAATAACTTTGTAACAAATATTACTGAGGTGTTTATTTTTTTTCTTAAGGTGATCAGTTTCTATGAACTTTTTAATTTAATTTAACTTCCAAAAAGAATTGCAAAACAACCTTATTTTTTTGCTGTTGAGGCCCGAGTTTGTGTTTATGCAGATGTTAAATTTGCTGCAATTGTTGCAAGCAAAGGGTTCAGGGTAGGTTAGACAGACCATCATCAATTTTATGACTGCTTCCAGAGTAAAGTCAGAGTGTAATATAAAAGCATTGTGCCTAATTATTAGTATGGCAGCCTGTGTGTCCCATCCTCTCTTCCAATAAGCACAGAGACTTTGCTTTGCATTGTATTATGATTTCATTTTTTATTTTTATTTTTTTATTTATTTTTAAATTTTTTTTTGAATGTTTAAATCAAAATCTGGTGGCATTTTAAGTGGGGCCCCATTAATGTCTCCAGGACTTGAGCTGGAACACATTTTACCTGAATTGAAATTGTTGGTATTACTTTTTTTTATTATTATTATTTTTTGCAGACAGTTTTGAAGAAAGCAAGAAAAACATATTGGAATCTGAAGACGTTTTTATGTGGCGTTTATTTTAATATTTTGACTGGAACTGTTTGAGTCCTCAACTTCTAAATAAGAAACATTTTTTTAGCAAACATGAGCCAATTTATGTCTGATTGTTAAATAGAATCAATTACTTCAAATTGCAGTGGTTATAGTATCTTGGGTCTTGGGCGATATTTTTATTTTTTTTGCACAAACCACTTTTTAAGTTGCCTATTCAGGTAGAGTCATTATCTACACCAGTAGGGGGGGGAAGGGCAATTTTTGTGCGCAATTTAGTTCTTTCATTTCGTCGAATCTCTTACTTTTAAACTGTCTTTTTATGTTCTGCAGTCTCACACCGACAAACTGAACACCCAAGTGGCTCTCCATCAGCTTTACCAGTACGCCAGCAAATACTACGACGGGGTAAGAACCTCCCAGCTCTCCTATCGCGCCCACGGAGGGCCATTCCACTGCATGCACCGCTGCCCACTGTATTTCTTTTTCCTCCTCCTTCACTCTTGATATGCCAGAAAAGAGATTGTGTGAAATTTTAATTGAAAGCATTTCTGTGGGATGTGAATTGGAAAATTGCTTTGGGAATTGATTTTTTTTTTTTTTTTTTTTTTAAAGTCCACTGTGTGTCGCCACTTGAGGTCACAAAAAGGAGGAGATAAACAAAACCTAATGAACAAATCGGATAAACAAATGGGGCTGTCAGTCTCCCCTAAGAGGGGCTCACAAACAATAACGACTAAAATGACGTGACTGTTGATGGGGAATGACACCCGTCTTCCCTCCACACTCGTCACCTCTTCCCGATTGTTTTTTTTTTTTTTTTTACTATTCCAGCACTACCCTTCTGCTGTCCTTCATCCAAATCCTCCTCCTCCTCCCCTCCCTCATCTCTTGATATTTGCGACTGCTCTGTCGATCATTTCAATGACCGTCCTTCCGTCGTCCCTTTCAGATCATCGCATCCCTGGATGACGACCCGGCTGCTCAGAGTAAACAGCTGACCCTGCGGCTGCAGCAGATTGCGGCCGCCCTGGAAAACAAAATGACTGATCTCTAACCCACCGAGAGGAGGGACAAAAGTCCAAGACATAGAGGGAGATCGCCAGTGACTACAGGGGCTTATTTCTTTTTCTCCTTTTTTTTTTTTTTTTCCAGAGCAGAAAGTATGGAAATGCAAAAATCTGAGAGGGGGGACTCGTTTTGATGTGTGCTTCCCCGGAGCATGTGTGTTTTTTTTTTGTTTTTGTTTTTTTTTTTTCTGGTTCTGTGGAGTAAACCAAGACTAATTAATTGCACACAGACATCAAAAAAAAAAAAAAAGATTGGGGAAAAATGATGGGTTCCGCTGTCATAGGTACGCCTTAAATCTCACTTGCCAAACCTTAAAGGTCTGAGCCCTTACTCATGCTCCACTGAATATTGCTCCCAGGATGCAGTATGAGAAAAGTCTCTGTGAGAATTAAGCCCCACTGTGGAGCACTGGTACCGCAGATAATCAGATGTTTGAATTTCTCTCTCTCTCTGTGTGTGTGTGTGTGTGTGTGTGTGTGTGTGCGCGCGCGTGTGTGTGTGTCTGTGTGTGGAAAAAAGGGTTAAAGAGTTGTATTATATATTTTTTTTATTGTGCAGTCTTTATGCAGAAAGCTTTATAAGAAACAAAAAAAAATCTTTTTAATTGGAATCACTTTGTGGTGCGGACAGTGTTTTTATCAGCCTGTGTGCGTAGATGTGTGAATGGTAGCGTGTGCATTGTGAGCGAGCGTTGGGGGGCGGTGGGGGTTGTGTGGGGAACATGCGTGCGCACACAGGATGCCTGGGCGTGAGGGCGAAGCGACGCCCGCGTTCTCTCGTTCTCTTGTCCCCACCCCGCCGGAGCCTGTGCTTTCGCCGAGCTTTACGACAGAGACCAAAGGGTCCGGACAGGGACGCCGGCTTCGTGTGACTGACGGCTTACCAGAGGTTTCGCAAACATTTCCTTTTGCTTTTTTCATATATGTATATATACACGGAGGTTTTTTTTTTTTTTTTTTCTGCTTTAAGCTTGATTGCCAACTCGTGCTCATGGAAATCGATAACAGCACAGCCTGTCTCCCTTTATTGTACAGTGCCATGAAACATTCCACTTCAACTAAAGCACAGAGGGACATTTCTCAGTTTTTGTTAAGACATTTCAGTTGATTCATTTTTTTTCTTCTTCTTTGTGTATTACTTTTTTTTTTCTCTAGCTGTCAGCAAAATAGAAGCAGTTGTATTCTGCCATGGAGCCATGCCACTCATATTAGCCCTGCAATAACATTGGTATACAGTAGATTCCTGCTTTTTCTTACTTAATGTATTTGCCATATCGTAGCAGTTGAGCAATATGTTAAAAAAAACAATTCAAAATTCATTTATGCATTTTTATTTTGTTCTTAGTTTTTTTTAATTGTTGTGCCATTTCTCTATTACCATAGTAATGTTCCAAATAATCATTAATAACTCTGCCTCTTTTGCTATAAAATAGCCTAATGCTGATGGTAATGATCTGTCAGAGATGCAGTTGGTACTGCATCGGTTTGTTGCGAACAAATTGTTATCCTTTTACATTTTCTTTTTGTTGTTGTTGTGTCTTTAATGATGTCAGGGTGCTTGGGTTCAGTCGTGTATATAATTGCTCATGATAACTGAAATCAATGTCAGAGTACGGCCTGAGTCGCAAAACGAGGGCTTGATATTTCTTTGTCCATTTAAACACCGTCCCCAAAATCGTAGGTCTGGCCGTCAGCAGACCTTTTTAATTGTCCTCCCTTCGTGTCTGACGGGTGGACGGTGCGTTTGGCCGACACGTGGCAACGAGCTCCAGAGACCCCAGAATGTTAACGATTCCTGCCTTGGCTAGAGTGACGTTTGCACAGACCTCGAGCCTGCCCGCCTGCCGTCTCAGCATGGCGCTCCGGCTTCCTGACTAACAGCATTTGGCACTGCCCACTCAGTGCGATGCGGAGTGGCACTCTGTGTAATGAAATCAGCAGGGGAGGCTTTTGATCTTAATTGCATGCCGACTGCAGACTCTCCATCCTCGCGTCTCCGCTGTTGTTTACTGGCGACTCCGTTCTCGCTGACTAGAGTCGATGCAAGAAGCTTCTCCTTTCAGAGCCTTTCTTTAACCAAAAACGTGCCTTATCGGATAGGATGACACATATATATTGTTTCTAAATTATTCTGTTGGTAACATAGGAATATGATGATAGTACTTATAGACACAGCAATGTACTTGGACTTGTGATCTTACGTGTGCTGTCTAAAACCGCTAGATGCGCCGCTGCAGCCATTGACGTGCCGTTAGGCTGAGGACATTTCAGTACGATTTCTTTTTCCCGGCTGCAGCTTCGATGTGTGCATTTCATTTGGATGTCTTTGGTGTGTGCTTACTAGGATTTTGGTGGCAAAAACAGCAAAAAAAAAAAAAATTAAAAAAAAGAAGTCAAAAGACTAAATGTTGAAGAGAATGACCAGTTGCATCTGGGTTTCCCTTGAAAATGTCTCACATTCCAAAATTAGACAAAAAGGGTATCCATGTGTACAATTGAAACATCGCGCAAAAATTGTTCCAATGGTGTTGATTCTTTTGACCTGTGTTTCTAAGCTATCCTACAGTGTGTACGATAAATGACTATCTATACTCGACAAATGACTTTTCTTACTGCTGTGCAGTTATTTTTATTTCTCGTTTCCTATACATATGAATCTTTGTAAAACAAGTTGAAATACCGTATCCTATCTGTATACCCCTATGCATTGGTTCCTATGACGAAAACGACAAAAGAGCGAAAAAAAATTGTTTGTGCTGTTGTCGAGACCTGTTTTTTTTATTTTTTGTTTTGTTTTGCTTATTTTTTTGTCCCTCACCCCCCATTTTGAAACTTGTGAATGTGCTGTATTGACAAAAGAAACTGGGACACTCCACTTTCGGTACAGGACCAGTAATGGAAGCCAATGTTTTTTGTTTTTTTTTTCCTCCCCGTACGAGGCAGCTTCGAATATTCTCGATCTTGTACCTGATCCGGTCGTGCTGGATGAACATAATTTTAAAAAGTCGTATGTGTGGACGGAGCAGTTACCCACAGGTTTCATCATGCACTCCTCCGTGAATAAACTCAGAGACATATATACCCTTCATATTGGCTGTGTTTCTTTCACTTGGACAATATTGATTTGCTTTGACTGAAACCGCTCTCATGCTTTATTCATCAGGAGTAACAATCACCTTGGGTGATAGAGTTGCCACAGGCAGCCGATTTTTCTCATTGGAGTGAATTGTGTGTTCTTCAAAATCTCTGGCACTTACAGCGCCTTGCATAAGTATTCATACACTTTGAACCTTTCCACGTTTTGTCCTGTTACAACCACGGACCTCAGTGCATTTTAATGGGATTTTTTGTGACAAAGTAACACAGTGCTGCAAAAATCATAAAGTGTAAAGATAGCACTACATGAATATGGTTTTCAAGTTGAATACAAACATATTAGCTGTTTTGTGTTAAACAACAGTGAGCTAGGGAGTAAGGGCTAATGGATATTTTTTAAATTACCTTTAACCTCTGACAATAAGTGACATTAAACCCAATATGTTCCAGTTGTGAGCTTTGTGACCAGCTAATATTAATGTATTTCTTTTCATTTTGTAAACTGCAGTGTAAAAGGAGGTTGCATAGTACTGCATGTCACTAATTTAATGAGATATAAATCAGAAGTGGACATGTTTTCTTCCATTTGAAAATCATGAGGTTTTATTTCAAGTCAGCCATATGTAATTTTCAGGTCAGGGTTGTTGAGAAACCAGACGTTCCCACTCATAATTTCCACTTTAAATTTCCTTTAAACGTTAAATATAGAAATTTGGACTTCTGAACTTAATCATGCAGTGCTAATTTATATGAAGGTTTTTGTGAGCAACCTTTAAAGGTTCTAGTCCTTTTTAATGGATGTCTGGAAACTTTTATTTCTCCATTTCTCTCTTGAGTTGGTACTTGAGCTTAGAAGTTTATTTAAGGATTATGAAAAGTAAATCCAGTTACTTCATAAAAAGAAGTGCTCTAAACCAAGTCACATTTTTCCAACACAAATATTCCTTCATGTTATGATTCGAAAAGCTTTTAAAACCGGTCTCCATACGTGGCACACCCTGCGATGGTCTTTATCTAATTCCCACATCGGGATCCTATCACACCGCCCTGAATACAAACTCAAACGTTCTGCCATGAAATGACTTGTAAATGGCAGTGCAGGATCTCTGTCAGAAGCACTGGAGTGAATAAAATTGTGTGGAAAATATTCAGTGCTACCGACAGCTATGAATGAAATTGAGGGAACAAAAATGAATTGCTGGAGTTGACGCACACAAGGCGGATCGTAGGCCTGCGTTTACTTGGGCTTTGCTGAAAGTGAGCAAATCACTGATTCAGCAAGAGATAAAGTAACTTCCCGGGTTTTCTGAGTAAACTTGATTATTGCAAGTACAGCATCAAAGCATAACATCCTCGATCCACTTGCCGTAAATCAAAGATAGAGAGCTCTTTGTACCTCTACCAGGACATGCTACTTAAATCAACATTATTTGCACGTGTAAGATTAAACTTGGGGGGTGAAAAAAAAAAATAAATAACCCGTGTCCTTCATTTCGTGGAAATCAATACTGCTCGCTGACAATTATTATTTAAAGTCGGCATCTGTGCTGGAAATGCTCAAAGAAAAATGGGTTAAAATCTGCATGTTGCTGGCTTCTGTTCTCTTTCCCAGGACGTTTCCCTGCACACAGCTGCCAGCCTCTCCTTCAGCAGGAGATCTTTGTATTTCCCAATAGGTTGCTTTTCACCTCCACGTTTCAAAGTTCCTAATGAGATTTGGCTTTGATTCACACCTCCTTATGGGAGGAGAAGGAGGGGGAGAACTTGGAAAAATATAAACAATTATTGCGGGGTATCATTTTTGAACACTGCTCATGAATAATTGAAAACCACTGAGAGTGATTCTACAACTGTGTAAACACATATATCCAACAGCATTACACTACCAGAAGATGCTATTGTGCCTTTTTCTTAAACATGAGGCTGTTATAAAGTCGAGGTGATCTGGAGTAGTCCAGCTAAGGGCTGACGAGACTTTTAAGTCAAAACTATTTTGTAAATTGCTTAAAATTCCAAAAATAATCCCTCTTCTAAATGTATGTTGACATATTTAAGAAGTAAATCGCAGCAAATAACTTGGACTGCAAATGGGAAAAAAAAAAAAAAACATTTCTGCTTCTGATTTCTTTATAGTGATTGGTTTTTATAGAGCCATAAGTATTCATAAATGTTGAACTTTTTCTCAATTTTGTCACTCTCTTACTACAGTCTTTGAGGAGATACAGAAAACCACAGCTCAGGTGGGACAACCTGTCAAGACAAACATTAATAGGTGTTTTGCTCAGAAACTGATAATTATAGTTGATATGCAAAAGTAATACAGAGTTTTGTGGCTTATGTTGGAGTAGCTTTGTGATATTTCTGATTTGTTCCTTTTTATGGATTTTTTTTAGTGACATTACGTAAAAACGATTCCCTCTGGCTTTGTGCAGCTAGAAGAATTTTTGCTCCTACTTTTTTTTTCTTGCTTTCGGACAGTTATGAGTAACCGAGGCAACAAAGTATTGTTTTTACAACTTGATGTAGCTAATTAGCATATCAAAAGCTCAAATATTACATGAAATACAACCCCAAATGTCAGAGGAGCTAAAAAAAAAAAAAGGAGACTTCATGGATGCAGAAGAGATTGAGAAAGTTCAAAGTAGGACCTCCAAAAATAATAAATAAAAAAAGATCCTAAGATATATCTGATACCAACGCCTCTCTGCACAGTTTTCTAATCCATCTCATTTGCAGCAAAAGCAAATGAGATGGATTTGCGTGGATTGATGTCATTCAAGACAAAGTACTGTGATATATTTAGAAATTTAGCTGATGTTGTATGACTCTGTCATTCAACAAGAGTCTTCATTCAGAGGCCTTTTCAGATTCGCTGCAAGACTGACTGCTACCAGGGAACCTTCCTACCCACTGCATCACCAAACACAATGACTTTGAAGATATATGATGGCTACTTCTTTAGCAGGTATGCATTTAGATTCACCCCAGTGCATGCCAAAAAAAAAAAAAAACTTTTTTAAAATATTGCTGTATTGAATCCTTACTGGAACTGGAACCTTCGTTTACCTGCCAAGGTAACATCCTTTCTCTTTTTCCATTGTTCACAAGACAAATCCATTTTTAAAAAAAAATTGGATGATAAAATGAACAAAGATTATTCTTTCTTGACTTCTTTAAAAGACATAGCTTCAGTTATTCATTGCGATGCCCTCCTACACTGAAAAAGAATTTACAACCACTCTTCCTTATCATCCGCGTTTCTTTCAAATTAAAATCGAATAATTTTTCTGTGAGGATGCATACCCAAAATGAACATCTGTGGGCTGCTTTGACTGGGATTCTGTTTTCTCTTGTGCAGCCCCACAGAGCCATGGGATTATGTGCTCTCTGTTTTGAGCTTCTGCTTGACATTACAATTTCTTTGGCTGAGTTATGAAAAATTGACTACCACAAAAAAACAGCCTTAAAAATAACATTAAAAGAATACACTTTGAAAAGAAAATAGATGTGAGCCGGCAACAAAGAAAACAAAATCCACATGGGGACACAGCTAACCCAAACCCAAAATGCCATCAAAGAGGTGTAAATCAACAATAAGGAGATTTAAACTGCTGAACAGAGACAAAGGGAACTGCAAATGGAGGCAAAACCAGGGCCGATGCAAAATGAAGAATAAACGTCGATATATTCTGAAAATAGAGCAGACTATAAAAAGAAATGCAAATGACTTTAAAGATATATATTATAGCCAACAGGCAAAAACATGCAGCCAACTATCAGTTCTTTGTAACTGGAAATTAAATGTCCAGGGAGGGGCAGAAAACCCATTATAAAATAAATGGGATGGGCTCTTCACAAGTGTGTCCCCCAATCCTTTATGATGCTCTGTGCACGGTTGTAGTGTCTTAGTGCCCAGATTTTATCAGGGTAAAAAGACAATTATATTGTAGAAGCAGGTGAGTATATTAATCCATATTCTACATTATGTAAAGGGAAAGATTGCTTTGTGATTTATCTCATCAGTTGACAGACCATGTAACTATAACATTATACTACCTGGACTAGTTTGTAAAAATATTCATAACTCTTAAACTTTGTCGCATTCTGAAATGTTACCAATTTCAGATTGGCATTTTAAATGACAAACCAATACAAAGCTTACCATAGTTGTGAGAAGGAAGAAATGGCAAAAAAAGGGGAAAAAAGAAAGAAAAATCTGTCTTCCTTGACCCTGTTTAAGAATAACACCCCAAAGCACTGTACTGTGAAAACTGAAGTAAGAAATGTGACTTTCCTTCCCGTTGGAAATCTGGGCTAATAGCTACTCAGAGCAATAATTGACAATAAACATTGCACAATGATTTTAAGTTTGTTTTAATAAATGCTAAAGTTGTATCAAAAGGTGATTACCTATATATGTTATAGATTTGTACTCCGATTTGAAACTCTGAAATCTATTGGTTTACTTTAATCCCACTCTATGTCCATCCATCATCCGTCCATCTATGTCCATTTTAAATAATTAAACTTGTAATTTTGTAGTTATTTCCAAAACTCTGGTATCATAATTTATCAAACTTTTATGAAATAAAAAAATGTGACAGCGGTATCGAGATGCTTATTGCCTTTTACCGAGCATAACCTGAATGCACCATAGTGATCGACAGTCAGGTCTGGCCAATCATCGTGACGAACAGTCGAGCATAGTGAGGAATTCAGCCAAAATCATCCAATCACGTTGAAGGGGGTGGGTTCCACAGAATTTCTTGTAGCCCGCGTTTGGTGGTGGAATATGAATGAGAAAGAGCTTGAAATTTCGCTACTTAGTGTAACTGCCAAATATGAACTGATTTTTGCTGGGTAAAAACCGGGGAGAACGGCTAATGTAGACACTTTAAACTGGATTAATTGCCTTTTTGAGTTTTGCATATTTACCGCATAAACCACACTGGGAAAGGAAAATAACGCACCAACCTATTGCTAATAAACATTAGCAAGGATGGAGAAACAGTTACTTTGCTTGGATGGGAGGTTGAAATTCTCAGGTATATGATGTAAACGGACCATATGAGGAGGACTAACAACAACCAGACGCGTCATTTTATCTTGGTAGGAAACTGGGGTTTAATAAATATGCAGTTTGTTGCAAGGAAGCAACGGTTGACATTGCTAACATGTAGCTAGCAGCGGCTAACTGCAGCCTGCGTTACCACGAAGCTTTCCATGTATTTACAGTATTCTTCCGGAACAAGACTAGTTTTGGGTTGTCTTGTGTTTGAACATGGTAATAACAATACATTATACTCGTGTTTTTCCATTTTGACCATCAGAGCAGAATGTATGCATGTTTGAGATGTTGCTATGCTTTAACTCATGATTCAGATGATGGCAGTTCAGCAAAAGCCTGTTAATCAGCCAGCAATTGAGTTCAGGTGTGCTGAGCCAGGAATAAACATCTGATACATGGAGGGCAGTGTGCATTTAGCACTAGGGTAATTAAAACACTGCATTAAACAGTGTTTCTCAGATGTTTACATCTACTAATTGTGAATATGACTATCATGTAAATATGATAATTCACTTGGTAGAATGACTATGCGTCAGGAAACTTCCGGCATAAATCGATTTGTTTTCTGCTACAGATGCATTTTTAAGCTTAGTTCCTAAGATTTTATGACCAAGGCAGAAGTGGCACCTGCTTGTTAAATAATTGATGTTTATTATTATTTAAAGCACTTTAAACTGCCTTGTCGCTGAAATGTGCTATACAAATAAACTTGGCCTGACTAAAAATTGGACCAAAAAATATACAGGTACTCGCATGGACCAGAGAGGAAAGTGTTATGGTCAGAGCTGCTTGGCCACACAAAGAAGAGTGTCTTGAAGGAGTTAAGATGAGGCTTTACAATCTAAGAGCAGTGTTGAGCATAGGGTGGCAGCATTATGCTGTGGGTCTGTTTCACTTGCCAATGATATTGGTACATTGTACAAAGTGGTTGGGGTACTTAAGACTTAATGTCACCTCAAATAAGCTCTACTAGTTCTGATAAGGGTAGTCACATATTCAGACAGATACATGTTGATGGCTGTGAAAGACACGTCATGTCACTCTTAAACAATTGCTCAGATACATCATTACAAGCCAAACTATTGTGACATGTGACAAGTCTGTAAATTTTCAGTGGTTGACGTTACCTGATGTAGAACTTGTACATACGGCAACTTTATGTTGGAAATATTTGGGCCTGTTGCATTTTGTGCAAGTCACAGTTCAATTATGCTTCTTAAAATTAGCATACCGTTAGTCTAAAATACAAATGACTTGTGGAAGTTTCTCTGAACATGTTTTGGCAAATATAGTAATCTATTGTGCTTTGCACTTCAGATTTTTTTTTTTTCACAGAATAACAAATATGTTTTGTTTCCCCACCATCCCTCCAAGCGTCTGAGACAGCAGTGCCATCATGTATTCGAGCTCAAACGATCCCACAAAGGCCAACTCCAGCAGCAGCAGCAGCATCACAGAGCTCCTGAACGCTCTGTGTGACTGCAGCCTCTCTGGGGTCTCTTGGAAGCGTCGAGCCCTCGGAGGAGTTTCCAAAGAGGGCTTCCACCGAGCCCTTAAAAAGCGGGCCTACGGTGCCTTGCTGTCTAAGCTTTTTCAAGATGGCACCAAAGGGTCTGCCTTGAGGCCCAGTGCCACGGCCAGAACCCCACCCAGGAACAAAGTCCTGATGATGTGCTTTGACTTGCGAGTGGCCGGCTGCCGGGAAGAAGCGGAAGCGCTGGAGGATCGGCTGGGGAGGCTGCGTGAAGGAGCGTCCTCCGGTCTGAGAGAAGTGGACTCCGTCCTGGAGCTCCTAGTGTGCCTCGCCGGCTCCACGCCGTCGCCTCCCACCTCGTTCAGCAGGGACTACATGAGACGAGAGAGGGCCGTGCTGCGGAGGCCGCAACCCTGGAGCTACCAGAGCGAGGAGCTGCAGAGGCTGGAGGCCAGGGCGTGGGGTCTGGTGTGTGCGGAGGAGTGGGGGACGCTGGAGACTGTGTGTGGAACTCAGAGGCTGATGGACTCCCTGCCAAGGACAGGGTTGCTGGCTTTGAGGACGAAAGTGGAAGCAGAAGAGAGATTTGAGAAGGAGACGCGGCTGTCGTTGTTTGGGGCGCTTCAGCACACTCGAACGTCAGATATGGACATCAGACTGGACCTCCCACCTGTTCCCACTAATATCGATGTTACTGGACTGGCTATCAGGGTAGGTGACCCACATGTAACGCACTAGCTTTACACCTGTTTTATAATGTCACCAGGTTCAAATTTGCACACTTTTAACTAGAGATGCATTGACCCAATATTAATGTCTGAATTATATTATATAGAAAAACAGATTTAGTTCAGGTATCTGTGACAATGAGCCCAATCCATAAGGGCAGATCTATTCAGTCTAATTTTATGATTTGTGCTCTGAGCGACATAAAGTTTTATTTTACATTATATTTTAGAATTCCTAATTGGGTTTTTTGAACCATTTGTAAAAAATTTAGTTGCAGTTTCTATACATTTGCAGTTATACTCCTGATTACACCAACTGAACAAATTGGTTGGTTGGTTTTACCATTTTGACGAAGCTTGTTAAACTATTGGCGGATTTTAATGTGTGGTACTGCTGCAGAGTTGTCAAATAAATTAGTAATTCTGTACATATGTCTGTGTTTAAATAAATAAATCTAATTAGTCAGCTCAGTACTGTTTTTCTGTATTGCATCATTATCTACTGATGCTAAACCTCAGATATCTGTATCGGAAGTGAAAATAGTGTTGGTGCATCTCCATTTTTTACTGTTTTTATACCGACTATCTGTTGTGTGCCCCGCGCAGGTTCCTCACTACTTGGATCAGTCTGAGGACGAGGGCTTCCAGTCAGCCTCCAACCTGACCCCAGACTCTCAGTCAGAGGCGAGCCCCGTTCCAGATGTTGACATCTGGGAGGCTGTCCGCACGTTTGAGCCTAGAAGGCGCCGCTGCTGGGAGTCTGTTGGCTGGTAAATGATCCGTTTACTAATTATACGAGTACATCTCAGTAATTTAGATTCTAATTTGAAAAGGTAAGATATTTCAGTAATTAGGGCAGTGAGTGATGGATTTCTCTCATTTCTTTTTTTTTTTTCCTTCCTTCACACATTCATTTCTGTCAAGTTTGATGGATATGGTTTACAGCTACTACAAAAGTCAAAATTGAGTTTGTTTAAATATTAGAATATGTTACAAAAACAATATATTTTTTCAGATTTTTAATATGAAAATGTGAACCTACTTAAGTAGATGTACTGTACATCATAAGTGCTGTGGCTCTTAGGGGTTCAGGAAGCCCAGGTTGCTTTACCGACCATCGCAACAGAGGTGACAATCGCATGGCCTCCTGCAGCCGAGCGACCAGCACAATTCGTGTATGTGAATTATTGAGTTCGTATACGTAGACAATACAAGCGTCGACTAGCGGCGCCACGCAAGAAAGTGGAAAAATGTTCAACTTTTATCACTGTTGTCGCTATGACAACCGTGGGTGGTGGTAGCTTTGGCCTGTCGTTTGCCGTTCCCTGTGTGTTGGACTCAAGGAGAAGTGAACTCTCACATCGGTTACTTGGCAGGTTTGTGTTTTCCTACCATAGAGCGTAGCATGAAAGTCTCGTGAGGATCAGCGGGCCAGAGAACAGTGGTTTAATAGCCCAAAGTGACAGCTGCAGTCTGGGAGCGATTTGGATTCAAACCTAATGACCGTGGTGAACCACATCACCTGCATGTCGCATTCGTTGTTAAACAGTTGCAACTACAACAAAAATGCATCTGCACCTAAAGCCTAATCATCCGATGCAGGTTTCCCAGCTTGGAGGAAAAAAAAATAAAAATCCACAACCAATGGGGCTGTCCACAATAACTGTGGATAATTGGCTGACTGATAAATCGGTGCACCCCTATAATTAATATAGTTTGAAAGGCAAGTTTGTTTACAACGACTTCAAAAAGACAATATTATCATTTATGGCAATAATTTCTGGGCCAATTTATTGTCTGGCAAAGTTTATTGTGACAGGACTTGTCTAATGTCATATTCTTATTTTCTCAGAAAAGAAAATGTGGGTTTTAATCCACTGTAAACTGTTTTGTTTTTGTAAAAAAAAAATGGTGTATGTTAGTTAGGAACAAAACACTTAATTTTTAAAAAACTAATTTGTAATGTTTGTCCCACTAGTCCACCAGGAAAAAGGGAGTCCTTCTATCTGACAGAGGGAGGCAGAGAGACATTTGACCAGCTCTACCTGCTGTGGGAGGGAGAGATGAGGGTCGTGAGCTCCAGCGACTCCTCTCCCATCCTCATGCTGCCCCTGGACTCCCAGACGCAATTAGTGTCTGACCTCCTGAACGTTCTGATAGGAGTGGCGTCCACTACCTTCCCTCTCAACCAGGTGCAATTCATCATCATTTGTTCGTCTCTCGGAGATGCACTTAAATGCAATCATTTCCTTTTTCACGCGCTGCCAGTGCACAGCTCTCACACACACACACACAAAAAGAATCAATGTGCAATTAGTCTATGAGATATAAACAAATACAGTTCCTTTAAAAAAAAAAAGCCCATTACCCTAAACCTTCCGGAGAACTGAGCCAAATCTTATCAAGCCATTAACTTGATTAAATGATGAAGAAGTAAATTGCAGTGTTCCTCATGTTAAAACCTAAACCACAGGAGAGAGCAGCAGTTGCTTTATTGTGTCCCATTAAGTTTTTTTTTTTTTTTCTGTTTTAGGAAGGTTGTAGTCTTTTCTTACAACATAAATTACATCACGATTCTCCTGATTTCCCCTGGCCCTGGCCTTATCCTGTTACTGCAGGAGATGCTTGACACTGACATACAGTGATGTGGAAAGGCTTAAAGCGCTTCACAAGAATCGGAGAATCAGAATGTAAAGCTGTTTTTACCAATAGCTCCCAAGGTTTTTAAATCATTTTATTAGATACTGCTTTTTTCACCAATGAGGTCAAGTACTTCGCAAATTTTTAAAGCAGTAAGAGACGTCAAGAAAAATTATCATAAAAATACAATTTTTACAGAATTACTGTATTTACCCATAGATGTATGACATGAATTTACTTTATTTGGAAACAGTAACAGGTTATATTTCTTCTGCTAAACTCACACATTTTGATTATTGTATTTGTATCAATGTTCTGTCATATTTTACATAATCTGTAACATTTCTTTTTATTTTAATACATTCTGCTGCACCATAAATGATTCATTCCGCACTGTAAATTAGGTTTATTGACAAAATATTCAAACTAGCAGCTGTTGGCAGTAAAAAAATCAAATAACACTTTAAATGGCTCAACACAACTAAAATCATAGGGCACTGCAGCAGTCTATTATATGTGAGAACATTGAGTTTGATTAGTTTTTATTTATTTCATGTTTTGTGTATTTTTTCCATAACAAAAGCCTGCCACTGACTAAAAATGGATTAATGTCCATCTATTGGGTTGGGATTCGCTAGTAGAGAGTAACTTTTTTTTTTTAATAAGTGATTTTAACATTACCAAAGAAAAGTAGCAATAAAATGGCTTCATCATAGTCAATACAATTAATTATTTTCCTTTTGTGCATCCCTGTTCAAGTTCAAAGCTATTGTAGACCTGGGATGCTAACTCTTAAAGTTGAATGTTTGAAAAGTTCACATTAAAGTTGGGCTTTTTAAAGACAACATTTCAAGAAATGAAATGCGACTCAAGAACGTTCAGAAAACTAACAAAAGCCTGGCACGGTGTGGCCAACAGTAATATTAGACCTTACTTTAATATCTGGAGTTAATGTGTGATCTTGAAGCTTTCTTATTTATTTTTTGCTTTGGTGACCACTTGTACTTTTATAACAGCAGTGGCGTTTGTGATTGCAAAAATACTGTCCGTGTTGATTTTTGTTTTCCCAGAAGACCACTGCTTAGAGACGCAATTTCTAGTTCTCATAAAACTTCTCCTTATATAATCTAATAAAAGAACTCCACCGATTGTTCCTCTAGAAGTCATGCAGGAGGTGACTCCTCCTACACTCCTGAGTTTAATTTTCTGTGTGCTACAAGTATGGCTGATTTTTATTAGACTACCCTGCTCTTTTTAAAGGCCTTTTCTAAATATGTGCTTTCTACACCAGAGCGTCCAGTTTGACGTCAGGCCCGGCGTGTGCGTGTCGGGAGCTTCTCCGGAGAGCGTGTCTCGTCTTCTCGGGGAGTTGGCCCAGTATGGCACCCACTACCTGAGGCTGAGTCGCTTTTCTCTCCAGAGTGCTGACAAGAAGAGCCTAGTCTTCCAGGTATGTTTGTATAATCACCATTAATTAATGCCTCTGGGGCCACATGTTTCCCCCCTCTCGTATTTTGCGCTAATGTCAGTGTTACACCCCGTTGTGCTCATCAATTTGGAAAGTTTTAATCGTCCCTTAAGGGACAATTTAGGACAAGCAAGCATAAATAGACACAGTCTATTAATGACAATAGAAAACTCTTTAAATATGCAAAGGAGAAAAGCAGGGGAGCAACAGAATTTATTAAAATCACAACAATACACAAAAGTTTGAGTGTTATCGTTTCTCATTAGTTGAGGTTGATTTATCATTTTGTCTGCTTTGCGTTAGCAGGCAAGAGTGTGGGCAATGGTAAATATTTTCACATTACAATAAGAAAGCCATCATTGAAAGAGGTGAAATAAGTTCTGCTTGCAGTTTATCACATTGGGGATTTGGCAAACAAAATGTCCTCTGGTCAAATTAGAAATGCGTTTTAACGAGTTGTCCGACATGCAAAACACTATGTGGACCGGAAATCTGATACGCACATTTAGCTGAGCTCACCATCAACACCATGAAACATGGTGCTGGCAGCATCATGCTGTGTGGATGGTTTTCTCTAGAAAGTTTCTCTTCAGAGTTGATGGGAAGACGAAAGGAGACAAACCTGGAAGAAAACTTGTTAGTTGCTATAAAAGCAAAAGGGAGTTCCACAGAGTCTTGACTTAAAACGCTAAATACCAATTCTTGCCACGTATGTTACATTTTTATTTGTTAAAAAAAAATCTAGGGCTTTTTCCATTACCATGTTAACTATTTGTGTTGTTTTTTTTTTTGTTTGTTTTTTTTTTGTTTTTTTTTAAATTAAGCTTGATAAAATAAATTAACACAATGGCTGATTTGGAAAAAGTTCCTCTGTGTTGCTGTACCTCACTTCCACTTGCTCAGCCGATGGATAAAAAGACAATATTGAATTATCAATTTCGCTTTATCTTCTATATCTGGTTCCAAAACAAAGCAGAAATGGTCTGTAAACAATAATTCGTGAATATAGGTTTCCTTGAAAAGTGATTAATTGCGGCTAATTAGTTAATTTTTATCAATTGATTAACAGCCCTAAAAAAGAAAATAAAAAAAGGATTATTTCTCCACTTTGCAGACATAATCTACTTTTTACTTAAAATCCCAATACAATACTTCAACATTTCCTGTTATGTGAAGAATGACATCTGTGGGTATAATTACTTGTAGAAGAATTCGCTGCATGTGACTAATAATTTTTCTCGCCCAAGGCGTTCACCGGTGGTCTGAGGAAGTACCTGCATTACTACAGAGCGTGCGTCCTCACCACTCCCCCCACTCTCAGCCTGTTGACCATCGGCTTCCTTTTCCGCAAAGTGGGCCGCCAGCTCAGGTCAGACCACACCTTTTTTGATGTTCTGTTTTCTTCTGAAGGTTTCTTTTTTTTGTTTGTTTGTTTGTTTTTTTTAACTCCTTTTAACCTCACCCTCACGCTGGCAGACAGTTCTGACAGAAAGCAGCTCACCACGGACATCATCACATCACAAACTCCCTTTCCTCTCCCTCTACCTCCCTCTTTCTCTCTCTCTTTTTGTCCAAAGGTACCTGTCGGAGCTGTGCTGTGTGGACGGACCGTCGGGCTCAGGCCAGGCCACCTTCCCTGTGGTGAGGGCTCTTTTATGTACACACTGCAATTTGTCATCCATCAGGGCGGTGTTTAACCTTCCAGATGAGATGTCAGCTCGCTTCATGTGGCTCTCCTCAGGGTGTTAAGCTGCTGTCCTACCTCTACAACGAAGCCCAGAGTAACTGCAGCAACGAGAACTATCCCATCCTGCTGTCCCTGTTGAAGAGCTGCTGCGAACCTTACACACGGTTTGTGGCTGAGACGCGCTCAAATCCACAGACGCGCAGGAGTCGTTTGAGCTAACGGCGTTCTCGGCTCTGCTCCGTTCAGGTTCGTGTCCGACTGGGTGTACAGCGGCGTGTTCCGAGACGTTTGTGGAGAATTCATGATCCAGGTCAACGAGGATTACCTCAGTTTCAGGGGTGAGATATCTCACACGTATGAAAACAGAAGCGCACACACACACACACACACACACACACACACACACACAGTGGAAAGGCAGACTGTCTATAGTAGCAGAAAACCAGAGATTCAATTTGATCCTTTATTGCCTAGTTGGATTTGTCCTTGTGTCTATAAAGGATGCCATGAAGTTATTGGAAAATAATAAGCAGGAAACAGAATCAGTCTCAGCTGCGGTGGGGACCGGAATCGTCTCTGCTCAGAAAATGGCAAGAGCAAACACTAATAAATATTATTGCTTTATCCTTTTTATTTAGCACACCATGCTGATTGGAGAGAGAGAGAAAAAAAAAAAACCGAAACGCTTCATAAGTGGATTTGTCTCAGATTTACTCTTGAAAGCTGGACTTTTGGTGATGTATTTTCATTTGGTCTAATTAATGGGTTCCATGAGGAGAAAAGGGGCAGAGTGAAGACATGAAGAGAAGAACAAACCCATCTGTGCTCTGCAGAAACTTCCACTCTTAGCTTTGTGGGTCTCCATTCTCTAACTCAACTCAAGCTGTTTTTCAATGCCAGGTCCTCTGTCTTTGTCTTTTACATTTCAGTCACTGAGACTGAATTCTGAAATGGAGCTGAGATTTTCTGTAATTAAGGAAAATGGTGGTAATTTGTTCCTCTTGAAAAGCCTAATTTGAGCCAGTCAGCTGTTGTTTAATAGTCTGAACTGTGAAGTATTTAAATATCAGGAAAGGGGTTCTTGTTGTTCTAAATGAATCAAAATAAAAACTTATTGCTTTTGCAAAATCCGACACTGAACAATTAAGAAAAGTCCCATCTTTGAGTACATTTTATTCAGCAGAGTAAAAATTCAAAATTCAGGTAATTGTTTTTCACACAAGCAAAGACTCTTCAATAGAGGCACTTCTAATAATGAATATAATAAAACCTTTTTTTAAAGTTGTTTGTAGTGATTGGCAGCATCTAATTAGGAGTCCATGTAGCAATGTATGACTATTTTTCAAAATAGGAAAGACAAGAGAACATAAAGTAAGACCAATGTGTCTTGATCCTCATGACTCGTCACAAAAAAATTCTGACATTTTTCACCCTCTGAAGTCAGAATGCTTCTTTAGAATTAGAAAAAAATCCCCTGGTATTTCTATGGAGCTTGGAGAAATTTGGAAATTAGTTGCAGGCTTTCTGGGTCTGATTTAAGTCTGGAAACCGAAAACGGAGAATGAGAAACTATTAATATTTTCAGACTTTATTCTCTGTCCAATTAACTAAATGTTGAATCCAACAATCCATCTGTCCAATATTCTTCTGTCCATTCATTTGTTTGTCCAATATCCATCCATCTATTTAATATCCGCCTGTCCATCCGTCCATCTGTTCAGTATCCACCCATCTGTTTGTCCAGCAACCCATCACTCCGTCAGTCTGTCAGTGATTTTTGCAGATTCCTTATTTAAACACCGTATAGAAATCTGACAATCATTAAAACAGGAGAATTGGACTTTGAAAACATGTCTGAAGTGAACTGAGGAGACTGGAAAGTAGAGTCTGAAATAGTACAAGTATGCTGACATGGAAAATATGAAGGAGCCCTGTCTGCTGCTGCATTAAAAGGTGTATATAGCGGATTCCTTACCGTGCTTTGAAGTTCTGTTTTTGCCGCAAGCAGAGACACTAAAGGATGTTGATGTCTTGGTTGTGAATGATGGTAGGAAGGAGCAGCAGACGGTTAGGAAGGTTGGAGCTTCACTTGCTCAAAAGTGACTTTTCTTCATTCAGACTCTCCTCTATGGTCATGACATATAGCTTCTTTCTAGGGTAGCAACTAATGATTATTTTAGTGATCGGTTATCTGTTGATTATTCTGACAATTAATTAATCGGATAAAACAAAATTTCACATTCTACAGATTTTTTTTATTCCACCACCTAAGCTTATGTTATACAATATTAGAAATACATTAAAAGATGCAAATAATTCAATAGCTTATTAAATTAAGAAAATAAACATTTTATTGCCTAAGATACAGAACCATTCCTTTCGTAAATCTGAACCAGTCAAAGGTAAAAATGCTTGGCTAAAATATGTTTACGTCTGTGCAGGTGTTTTGACTCAATTATTGCTCTGAATATGCTATTTGTTTCACCAAATGACATTTTTGAGTCTCTATGCTTCAATTAATGATTAATCAATTACTAAATTAGTTAACAATTACATCAGTAGTCGATTATACACGATTAACCCGGTCAGTCGTGTCTTAAACTTACCTAAACCTCCAGTCAGAACAATGGAAAGAGAGGTTTAAAGAAAATAAAAAAAACATCTCCAAACCAAGAAACCACTGTACTTTGTTCAATGCAAGATTATGCTCTTGCAAAAAACATCTGTTTAATTTTTAATCTTTTTTCACAGACGTTTATTTAAAATAATTCTCCTCCATTCAGGCCCAAGTGTTTACCTGATCACTTATAGCCCGAAGAGACGTCAGCATGTTTACCTGTCAATGAAAACCAGGCATTAATATTCATAAACTGCAAACTCTAAGCCACAAACATACAAGCTGTTTCTTTTTAATGTTGACACCGGCTAATAAATACAGTGAAGTATGAGTGATTACAGCCTGTCCAAACATCGCATGTAACGCAACATCCCATTCAAGGTCACACCATCATGCTGGCTTTGTCTGGCTAACCGTTTCATTTGCTCATCGGCTACACCTCATCAATTCCAGCCGCGAACCTCCACAGTTCTCGCTCCCGCCGCTTGAAGGACACGCAGATGTCATTGTTCTCTTCGAAACTCTGCCGGCCCGGGAAGTGATCAGCAGCAGCAGCAGCAGCAGCAGCAAAGCTTTCTTGGCAAGCTGCAGGCTTCGTGTGAAGCGCTCGGGAAGCTCGTGCATTTCTGTTCTCTTCTGCTTTTTGCTTTGGATCGCTGGGCTAAGTGCTAACTATTACAGGTGCTAATCCAAGCGGCCAGTTTTGTCACGCCCTATGAGTCACAGTAAAAAGCAGAAAGTTTAAGGTCCACCACTGGTAGTTTTAGGTATTTCATTCAACAAGGGAAAGTTTTTTTGTTGTTGTTTTTTTCTTTTTTAGCACATGCAGACATCAATTGGTATGTTTGATTTTCTGCAGACAAACACTTCTGGGTTCAAGGCTACACTCTGATCTCGAAGGATGTGGAGGACTGTGTGCCGGTCTTCCTGAGACACATTGCCAACGACGTCTATGTCTGTGGGAAGACCATCAACCTCCTCCGAATCTGCTGTCCACAGGTTTGTTTTGCACATTTATAGCCAATCCGTGCAAATGTGGAGGAGGATCAATTTAATGCACTTGAATTCTGTGTAAAAATAATCACGGCTTAATTAGTATTTATAAATTGTTCCTGCAAACAGGACTTTCCTTTTCTTGTTTGCAATGAATTCATTAAGCATTTAAATTAACTGTTATTATTACTGATTGTGTTTATTTTCCTGCTTCCAACAAGGATTCAGTTGTTTGCATTTGCTAATAAATGCTCAGACTGGCTCTGCTTACTTAAGGCACTCATCCATCTGTCACAATTATGAGTTTATGTTTTATTTTATACTTCCAAATGGCCCTTTAAAAAGTGAAACGCATAGTCAATATTTTAACATGGATCAGGAAGTTTCAATCAAAGCAGAAAGTGCTTCCATATATAGGAAGAGTTGATATTGGTATTATATTTGCTGAGAGAAAAAATCAGAAATGATTAAACATTTTTAGTTTCTTGAAGTGATACTCAGACAGAAGTGTTGTATGATGAATCTGTTGATTAAAAAAAATGTTTTAAGAATTAAAAAAATATTCATGTCATGATTTTTTTTTTGTCAAATGTATACATTGACAGGCTAACACTTCAGTAATGTTCAGAATTTCTTAGACATTTTCTTATTTAGACATAAATGAATGCAAGCTAATATGAAATACATCAATGTGACCTCATGCAAAGCCACGCTTAAAGTAGAAAGATGGGGCGTCAGCTTGGAAATCTGATTGAGTCAAATTATTCCTTTAGTTCAAAGGAATCCAACAATACCATATGAAAGTATTCACACGCCTTCAACCTTTCCACATTGGTAAACAATAAACCTGCCCCTGCTGAAGAAAAGCATCGCAGAGTAAAGGAGCAAAACGCAGATTCACGTTTCAACTTTGTGTTGGCCTGTTGCATAAAACCAAACAACAAAATGTGGAAAGGTTCAAGGGGTGGAAACACTTCGTACTTCCAAACTTCTCTCGCTGCTTGTGTCCAAATCCCTCCCGTATGTCATCCCATATTCTTTGCTAGTTTACTTTTGGATCTAGCGGCGCAAAAGGAGTTGTACTTTCCGACAGCTGGTGCAACATATTTTGTTTATGAAATGAACTCTGAGGTTATAAAACACGATGTCAACATGATGAGTCATCCAAATTTAACACTGGAAGCAGCGTGACTCCTTGTTTCTTTTGGTTGCATTAACTTCTCACCAAATCTGTTCCTCCACCAGCACTACATCTGCTGGTCGGAGCTGCCGGTGCCTCGCATCGCCGTCACCTTCTCCCTGCAGGAGGTGGAGGAGATTGAGAGGGAATGCGCGGTGTATCGCGGCCGCATGGAGAGGATCGCCAAACACAGCGCCGTCAGCAGGGAGGAGCAGGTAAGGATGCGTTTGAGCTTTATTTTTCCAGCTCGTGTTTTGCTTTTGAAGGCATCGAGCTAGTTTGTATGGCCTGCAGCTGGCAGCTGTGACAGGCCGAGATGGGGGGGAGAGGGAAGGAGAGGTGAGCTCCAGAGCAGGGGGATAAATCTTTGTTAATGATGATTTCTTGCCTGTCTATTGTTAGGCCCTGCGAGCAGAGCGAGCGCGCCAGGAGCTGATCAATCAGGTCAGGGAGTCGGCGGCTAAAACCCTGGAGAGCATCCGAGGTTAGCGTCACGCTTACACACTCAGAGGCACCGCTTCTTCTACCTGTTCACGAAGCGGCTGAATATACCTTCAACGTGTGACATTAAATACGCTAAAGGTGAAATTATACTAATCACACCTCGCCACCGTGTGACGACGCATCTTCCATTACCCTAAGAGTGTGAAATTTAACTATCAGTCACAGAGTTCACCGAAGTCCTCGCATCCACTTTTTTTCCTTTTCCTCCACAAGATGTAAAGGATTGTTGGCAAAGGAGGATGATTGGCTTGGGGAATGCCTGCTCGGTTGCTTTATGCACGTCTCGGCTTATTCGAGTGCGAGGCAGATGGCGGTGTTGTTTTGTGCTGCGGCGCGTAGTTAGAGGGATGCGGATGTTGAGTTGCTTTTCGACCGGGAGGGGTAAACAGCCCCACTGTTATCTCCCCCACCTCCTGCAGGGCGCCAGGTGTCGCAGCGTCTAGCTGAAGAGGCCAAGAAAAGGGAACGCTTTGAGGAGCTGAAGCAGCACCTGGAACAGGAGCAGGAGGTAGTTCAAGTGGAAATGCATGTTTTTTGTTTCTTTTAAAAAAAAAGTAGTTCAAACTGTTTGTATATCTGAATGAATGTTCAAGAGAAATTCTAAGAAATATGAAATATGTTTTCTTTTTGTTTTTTTTTTGTTTTTTTTTTACGAGAATCTGCAAACTAGTAATAGGTCAAACAGGGTGTTATTTGCACTTCTCTGAGCATGATATGTTGTTAGTTTGGCCAGAAAATTACCTCAAAAACAAAAATATACCTCTGTTTGAAACTACCCAAACACAGCAGTCTGTTTCTAACCATCTTTATTTGCAGCTTTGCAGTGACTTGAAATGTTTTCACACCTTGAACTTTCTTCACATTTTATCACTCTACATCCTAAATTTTTGTGCACCAAAGTGCCTTCAGAAGTCAGGTAATGTTACTTGTGGGAAATTTATTCTGAATAATAATGGTAATTGCAGCTTTTGCTTGAAGGCTTTCAGGAATTTTTTTTAAATAGAAGATTAATAAACAAATTGCAGAACATTCCTAATGAGTAGAACAAAGCCGAGACTTGACCATCTTCTTAAGCAGGTGAATAAGGAGACCATGAATCAAAGATCATGCTAATTAGTGTTCATAGAAATTCTCCTTCTGCTCTTTCCTGTTTTACTGGGAACATTGGTCAAACATTCAATATCTGGATGTGCAAAGCTGGTTGCAGATTGCTCCCAGTGACTCTCTGCTGTAATTGCAGTAAAAGGTGGTTGACTCAGAACCCAAATATTTGTAAAAAAAAAATATTTGAAAATTAGTTATGCTTTTCCATTCACCTCAGCACGACATGAGTACTTTTGCAAGGCTCTAAAAAATACGTGTTAAATTTGCATCCGTCTGAGGTTCGAGAGCTAATATTCTTTACACACTTCAGTACAGTTGCTCTGTTGGTCGGGATGAAGATGAAACAAATTAAATACACAAATAGGTTAATTATACCTCCTTTTGAGTCCATCGGTTATCCAGACTCAAGTCCCTGCTGTGATAAATACGGTGCCGGCTTCCCTTGTCCTCATTAGCTCGACATTTGCTCATCTTAAAACATGCTGGAGAGACTTTTTTTTTTTCTTCCTTTTTCAGACCCCATCTTTATTTCTCAAACACCACATAGAATCTAACCCGCTAGTTGCCCTCTTTGGTACCATCTGAAAGATTGACACTCCTCTGACCCTCTGTAAAATACCATGCATTATTTTTCACTTCTCTCCCGGCTACGCACGGCTCTGCTAAAATGGAGGGACATGACCCCGTTCGCCCACGCTCAGTGGTCCCGTTTAAGCCTAAAAAGATCTCTGCCTCAGTTAGCAACTCCGGAGGAAAGTTTCGCAAGATGTGCAGACCTTTATCTGAGGTGTTTTTCTTCACGGTTCATACTCGGAACCCAACTTTCAGCACCCTCAAGTACGGTCCTTTATAGAAATAACGAAGCTAGTTTGTAAAGGGGGGTTAGATTAAGGGGAATGTGATGGTGTCACATGGATGACTTTCTTAGTTCTTTGAAGTATAGCACCAAATAATTCTGTTCAGTTTGTATCACAACACAATACACATTATTTTCATTTTAAAGGCTAAAGTTAATTTGAATAATACTTTCTAAGAGGAATATTTAACTATTCAAACCTTTGTAAGGACTTCCAATAGGTTTTAACACTGTCGGGCTTTGTTTTGCAATAGAGATGTTTTCTTTGTTTAAAAAAAAAAAAAAAAGCACAAACTACTTTGCAGTGTTCATTGAAACTACAGTGATTTATTTTATTTTTCACGTTGTTGTTCTTTTGGGGCCAGTGTAGGGATCAGTAAACTCGGCTCATCTCTTGTCACAAATACTTTCCAAACTGACAGCATGCTGACAGCTGAGGTGAGACTCTGGCTTGGATTTTCTCCGCACAATGTCAGAAAAATCTTAAGATAACCCTCTAAAGGGAAGAGCAGGAGATTAAAAATTGGCCTCAGAAACGTACAAATAAACATTTCCAGCTTAAAGAAACGATGCATTGCCTGCGTTTGTTTGTGTTTCTGCGACCAGTGGCAAAATGCAGCCAAGAAGAAGCAGGAGGACGACGACTTTGGCTTTGCCAGAGAGCTGAGAGACAGAGAAAAGAGACTGCAAGCCCTGGAGGAGCAGCTGGAGCAGAGAGCCAGGTTTGACAGCTTCCGCTCTGCCTATTCCAGCTGACCGATCCGTCCATGTTGGGCACGAACATAAACACTGTATGTTTACCATGCTGAAAAGTCACCTTCGCGAGTACCGCATATGCGAGCGGCTAGACTTATGCAGCATTCCCGCACAGTTGGGATAACTGTCTAATGCCACAGCGTGAGCAAATGCTATCGGAGCTGTCATTCAGCTCGACGACATGTTGGAGATCAGAGCGTGCCAAAGCTGAAGGAAGGAAGCACCTGCCATCTGCAGCCTTTTTAAGCAGCCAGTTTGCATCTTTCTACTCCTCTTCCCTTCAGGAAGGATTTGTAAAATTCAAGATTTTAAACACTGAATATATTTGGGATATGGACAATAAAGAAAAGTATCTGGGTTTTATAAAGGCAAAGATTTCTATTTCTGTGGGTTTCTGTGGATTGTAAATGTTGCTGACTCCAAATCAAAGAGCCATTTCTGTCCGGCGAAATATTGCAAACTCGAGTTGACCTTCACAAAAAAAAGATAATTTAAAATATAATAAATGTATATGTTTTTATTCTGTAAACTACTACGTGCTGCTAGACTTACTACTTGTGCCACCCTCGGCAGGTGCCCATATCAAAAACCACCACTAGGGACACCTTTCATGCATGTTGGCACCATCTCCGCTAGTCTTTCACATTGCTCAACTCTTTTTTTTTTTTTTTCCCCTAAATATTTTCCCATCATGCCATGAAGCAGTATTTTTACTCTAGGCTAATATGATGCCAAACACAGTTTCTTGACCCAGCTGTCGCTGCTGTGGATAAACTTTGCATCTGAAAGGACGTCCCTCTGTCGCATGTTGTAGAAAGGAGCTGATTGCTCAGTACAGCCGTCTGTCGGAGGAAGCGGCTCGCAGAGAGAGACGGGCCATGTGGAGAGTGCAGCGAATGAGACTCCACGAAGCCAGGGAACAGTTCTTCATGCTCGACAGGCAGAAAATTCAGGTTGGTGACAAATAAATGCACAGAAGAATGAAAAATATGGATTTCTAAGGAGGCAGGTAAAAAAAACATGCAACAGTTTCTCAAGGTTTTCACCTTTATATTTTTAATTCAAAGCTTTTGTGCCCACCTTTCAGGCATTGCTGGATAAATACCCCTTTGGCCAGGAGAGCCCTCCCGTGGCTGCATTGCCATCTGGTCCTTCATTAACGCCACAACAAACTCACGTAATAATTCCCTCATTATGGCAATCATTTTTCCGTAGTCTCTGCTTTGTTAGAAACTCACTCACCACGCTTGCTTACAGGAATTTCCCACTCAGGAGGAGCAGTCAGCAGACATTCGAAGATCAGAAGCTGCATCCTCGCCACTTAATCCGTCGGCAGCAGACCCTCCTCCCATCTCGGAGGACTCCGACATCAGTGACCTTCTCACTAAATCGCCGAAGCCTGACAGTCAGCAAGTGGATAACGCCTTGGAGGAGATTGGCTCTGACCTACCTGATGCCCGTCCTGCTCTGCAACTCGTTGACTATGACTTTAGTGCCACCTTTAGCCCACTCGAGGGTATCGCCGGCCAATCTTCATCTCAGTCCAGGCCTCGGTGGGGACCTGCAGTGCAGCCTGACTTGATGCAGCACTCTGAAGCTTCCAGCTCGGGTACAGACCAAGGTCAGAATGAGGCTGTACTAGAACAAGAGGCAAGTGATGAGCAGGAAAAAGATCAAACTAAGACTGACGGAGGTGATGCAGACACTAAAGACAAAGACTCAGAGAGTGGAGATACACCTGGTGGAGGTGTTTGTCTCCCAGGCCCTCAGAGTTCTCTCTCCATTGCCAACATTAAGGTTCCAGACAGAAGCTCTCGTGGCCATTCATCTGATGCTCATATAGAGGTTGGACAGAATGTCTCTGAGGTAACTGCTCCCCTCCCAACCCCCAACGTTCACGGCCATGCTTCCGACTCACACATCAAGGTGGGAGAACACGTGTCCGAAGTCGGCGTTCCCACACCGTCCCCCAGTGCTCACGGTCACTCCTCTGACGCTCACATCAAAATCGGGGAATATGTTCCTGAGTGTGTCCCTGCTCTTCCTGTCCCTAGCATCCACGGTCACATCTCGCACGCCCACATCAAGGTTGGCGAACAGGTTTCCGAAATAGAGGCGCCGTTACCGTTGCCGAACATTCACGGCCACAGCTCTGACGCTCACATAAAGGTCGGGGAAAATGTTTCAGATGTTGTGGCGCTGCGGCCTGCACCCAGCGTTCACGGACATTCCTCTGACGCCAATATAAGAGTGGGGGAGTTTGTGTCTAACGTAGTGGAAGGAAGACCTCGTTGGAGCAAACACGGACACTCCTCGGATTGTGTCCTCCAGCCGGGTTGTGTGGTCTCTGGAGAAGAACTCCCATCAGCCCCTCTGCCTGGCAGCTCTTACGGTCACTCCTCAGACTCAGCTTTAAGCATCGGGTGTGTGGTGCAGGGGTCAGAGCCGCCACCCGCTGCACTTCCAGGCAGCGCCTACGGTCACTCATCAGACTCTGCTCTGGGGGTTGGATGTGTGGTGAAAGGAAAAGAAGATCAAAAGACAAAGGACGAGGAAGATAAAGGTACTAAAACATGGAGGGAGTATTGGACTCTGTATAGGCATTAGTTGAGTTTTTATTTCTATGAATCAAGAAGAAAATAATTAAGTAGAAAATTAGAGCTATCATATCTTTGTTTTTCATTTGTCACTTTTAGATCCAGCACATAATGTTCATGTCTCAGCATTCTCAGATAAATTCAACAGATAAAAAACAGATAGAGGGCATCGATCCATCATTAAATAACCATTGTGCATCTTTTCACTGAAAACATTTATTTTTGATTGCAGTAACTGCCCATCTATTTTAAAAGATTGCATGTGTATTAAATGAGACCTCTAACTAGATGGAGAAGAAGAAATAATACTTTAAAGTCTGATCTGCTGTAAGAGTCAATTTTAAAGTAATACATTTCAGGTGAGCAGCAATGAGTTTCTTAAATCCAAATTGTTTGGATGTCATTTCAGTTGATTACTTTCATACAAAGCTAAGTATAATCATAGATTTCAATCTGTTTCTGCCTTTTCCTCTGAAGGCCAAATTAAAACACTTTCTTTTTTTCTTTTTCTTTTTTTTGCAACGAAACATTATTTGCTTGTTCTTTGGAGAATGATCTCTAAATATCTTCAGTTTCTCCTTCAGGTAGTCCCACCGGTGACAGGATGGTGTGTTGGACATCTGGGTTGTGGTTATCCCCTGGAGAGAAGTCCCAGCAGGAATACCTCTTGGCCCTGTCCGCTCAGTACCAGGTGGAACACTACGAGGACTGCTACAACTTACTGGGTTAGTGCAGAACACGGCTGAAAATAAAGTTCATATTTCTCTTGTTGAGGCGTTGCGTGCTTGGACAGCTATTCCCTCTGGGTCTGGATGATGTGCAGCTGAAAGGATTTTTCGCTCACTTTCTTTTTATGAGGTGAAACTGTGCCTACAAGGTTTTGTTTTTACAACTGGGTGCAATAGATTTTAAATTTCTGGGATCAATTGTCACACATCCCCTTTGTGTGGAGCATAGATTTGACTTGCTGAAATGACGGTCATTTCTGAAAACGAGGCTTATGTTTAGCTTTGGGGGGGAGGATCGTGGCTTGTTTAAGTCGCATCCTCGCTTTTTCACTCCCGGTTTGTTGTTTATTCATGCTGCAAGCAAATCAATCAGCATCTTCTCCAGTGAATTCCTCTTCCACATCGCCGATCGAAGCCAGCAGACATAATTATTAGGGCCGGGTTTCCATAAATGCAGGGATGGAATCGACTGAGCAGGTGAAGCAACTTGCTTCTGGGTGATTACTGCTGTAATCAGTCTGAAACTCGCCTAACTACACCCTCAATAAAAGACAAAAAAAAAAAAAATCCAGACATCTTGTTTCACTTATGTAACCTGCAGCTGTGAGAAAGACGTTTCCTCACCAGCACGCCTGTCTTCTCAACCCTTCACAGCTTCGTCCCCCGAGTCCCAGCTGCTGAAGCAGGTAACGCGGGGGCACTGGGGCCTTCCCATGGACCCGACGCTCCGCAGAGCCACAGACACCACAGCTGTCCAGCTCAGTGAGATGGTTTCCCTGCCGGTGCTGATAAAGCACTCTGTCACCGCCCCGCTCATCACGCAGTAAGTTCCCCTTCTGGAAGAGCGCTTCACGAGGAGAGGCTCTCTTTGTGTTAGGCAAGAATCAATGGCTTATTTCTGCAAGCAAATTAATGGTTCAGATTAAAGGTTTATCATTGTGCATGAAAGTCTGGCGTTACGTTGGTATCAGTTTTAACTGAATCCAGTCTTATTTAATTTAAACCTGTTAACGTTGCAGTTAATTGACCCTTTTGGGATGACAGAGATGCTTGTCGCTCCAGAATAACACAGCTGTATGAATGCAGATTTCTAAAAGTGATGAGAAAGAGGACATATTTCTATAAACTGCATATTTAAACACTAATATAGTTCACTGTGGTGTCAGCCTACTTCCTGCTTGGTCGAGTTTACTGTATTCGTATTCTGCAATGCAAATGCTTCTCTCCATGATGTGTCAACTCTGTTCCCAGTGTCTCCTTGGTGAATAAGGCTATAGTGGACTACTTCTTTGTGGACCTGGGGGTGGAAAGACACTTTGAGGCGCTGCGCCACTTCCTGCTGATGGAGGATGGCGAGTTCGCCCAGTCTCTCAGCGATCTGATCTTTGAAAAGGTGACGCTCTTTTGCCTGTAATTATTTCTGTGTTGCAAGATGTCTTTTGTTTTTTTTTTTCTCCAACTTTCCTACGGTCAGATTTGAAGGAGCTCTCAGTACTGTTAGCCTCTCTGTAGGTGATTTGGGAGCGTAGATTTGCCGCGTTTTAAAAATGTGAACTCACAGATCTAAGGACCCTTTTTGTCCAACATGCTCATACTGGGAGCACTTTTGGTAAGGGTTTTAATTTTCTCCCACTAACTATAATTAAATGCTGTTAGGCTAGTTTCATAGATTACTACGGAGAAGAAAACAGCATTTAGAGCAGCAGCCTGTAACTTTTATAAGGAAAATATGCTTTTTACTGATTTGTTAAATCTGTCACTGTCATAACATGTTGTGTAGTTTGTGCCGTCGGTGCTGTCTGTCTAACCAGGGTTCCTGCAATTCAATTTCACTTTTTTTTTCAAAAAAATAATAACAAAATGAAATGGATGGATTCCTTCCTCGCTTTTTCTTTTTTCTTTTTTTTTCTTTCTTGCCGTCTTTCCTGCTTGCCACCCACTGTTTTTGTTTTCCCTTTGCTCCCGGTCTCTTGTTTCTCCACATTTAAAGCCTGACCTCTGTAGAAATCTCTAACAGAAACTCGTAGTGAACTTTGAATTTTACAACAACCCCTGAGAAACCCTGTTTCCATCGGGAAAAGTGAAGCATTTCTCCATGGAAAAGGTGCAGGAACCCTGTCTGTCTGATTCCACTGCTGCCTTTTAAGCTTCCTGTCGTGAGATAACAAGCGCAGCCGTCGCTCACACCTCAGGGCTGTTCTGCAGGAACATTCATGTACATCTGTCTCCTGGGGCCCATCAGACAGAAGGTGTTGTTTATTCAGCCAAAGCTCTAATTCTACTGATTGGCACACCTTCAACCACACAGGAAGCGGAGACTTTAATCAGTTGTGTGTTTGTAAGACAAGAACTTGTTCTAAAAGTATATTTATCTAAAGATTAGGAACATTTAAGTCGTCAAATGTTTGCTTTGTGACCTTCCAGATGGCCAGCGGCCAGACTCCGGGCGAGCTGCTGACCCCGCTGGTCCTGAACTCCATCCTCAGCAAGGCCCTGCAGTACAGCCTCCACGGAGACACTCCCCTCGCTCCTAATTTCACCTTCGCCCTGCGCTTCCTGCCCGAAACCTTCCACCCCCACGCCCCGGACTCCCTCAACTGCTTGGAGCTGCGCTACAAGGTGAGCTGCCTTGACGGAGCGGGTACCGCGGCGACGACGACCCTGACACAGGCGTGTTCGTCCCAGCGTGAATGTGACAGCCTGCCGTGTTTTGACAAACTGCTCAGAGTGCAGAAAACGAGCTTTATCTCTCACCGAAATAGGTGAGAGATAACTCTATAATTCATAGAGGAATTAGATTCATGTCATGCTCAGAAACTAATGGTGCACATATGGGCCCCAGCTCTCCTCTCTCATGTTTCCCGAAGCTGCCGACTCTCCGTCTTGTTCCTCCTCCTGCTTATCTTTACCTCTTTCTTCACATGTTCTGCCTCTTTATGTTGCCGTGTTTCTCTCACCCCCTTCACAATCCTCTCACCTACTTTATCAGCAGCTTCATATTCACACCTTTCTCTCCTGTCATCCATCACTCTGCCTTTACCTGTTTTTTTTTCTTCCTCAACTCTCATTTCACCTCCTTGTTATTTCCTTCGCCTCTCTCAACCTCTCTTAGCTTTTCTGTCTGACATAGATCTTTCTCCTCCAGGTGGACTGGCCGTTGAACATCATCATCACTGACAGCTGCATGAACAAGTACAACCGCTTGTTTTCGTTCCTGCTGCAGCTCAAACACATGGTGTGGAGCCTCAGGGACGTCTGGTTTCACCTCAAGAGGACAGGTGAGGGAAAGGCAGCTGCTGATGCAGCTCGAGTTCAAACTTCATCTCGCAGAAAGGAGGGATAAGATTCTGCTTTATACCAGGATCTCCAGTGTTTATAGAAAGAAATGTTCAAGTTTTTTGTGTGATTTATTTATTCTAAGCAGAGGTCAAAGCCTCTGCTTTGAATAAAAGATAAACAAGGAATGTTGTTTATCTGTTTTCTTCATGGGGTTTGATTATATTGATCTACAACACTTTGTGCACAAATCTCAGAAATGGATAAACTAAAAGGAGAGAAACAGTCTTAAGATGGAAAAGGATGATATTGAAAATATTTGCACAGCGCTAAAAAACATGACCATATGTCATATCTGTATTGTAAAAACTACAATAATAATCAATTTAACACTAATTAATTTGTACAACTTTTGAAGCTTTTCACATTTTGTCCCATTCCAACCACAAACTCTTGGGTATTTTACTATGATTTTATGACAAAGCGACAGAAAGTACCGCTATATTTATCGAGTGGAAGGAAAGGATGCATTCATCCATCAGACTGGATAGAGAACATCTGTGAACGTCAATTTTCAAGTCTAACCACAGACTCTCAACTGGATTTCTAGCATATAAATATGCTGAAAAGCACTTGCAGACCCAAAAATATAATTCTTAAAACCTAAAATCATCAAAAATGCTGTTTTTTCCCACATTCAGAACTATGAACTAATCATGAACCATTTTAATTAAACAAATAATGTGATTTGTGATTGTACATCCAAAACCTCAATTGGTTTTTGCATGCTTCCCTTATAAAACTGAAGCCATCTAATTTGCTTATTATTCTGGACTCGATTGAAGAAAACGAAAGAAAATATTTTTCTTCTCTCAGCAATAAAAACAGCATCTTGGTCACTCTACATTGAAAACACTTGCTGTATTTAGCCAAGTTGTAATACAGCAACTAAAAGCAGATTTGTGTGCACCAAGCTGTAACTTAAAGCATAAGCCAATGAGTGAAGTCAAAGAGCATTAATAACTTTCAAATGAAAGTTATTAATGCTATAAATGAATTTGCGTTTATTGTTCCAAGAGGTTTCCAACCTAATGATCCTCGTGGCGAAGACCATCATGTTTCTTCACCCTTTTCAGCTGGGAAAGGGTGAAGTGTTCACTTGTTCTCACACTCATGCAGGGTGTCTTAAAATGTCTTAAATTCATGTATATAAAATTAAAACCTTAAAATATCTTAAATACCTTAATCACGCCTTAAATTTTGTTGTGGCAGTATATTCTATGTTGCTATTTTCTCTCGCTTGACTTTTCAGTTAGGCAAAAGTTTGAGTTGCACATTTTTATCGCATTGTTTGACTTGAGGCTGTTGAGGCCGAGCTGCTAATGTACCCTTGCCTTGCTAGCTAGCTAGGTTGTAGCAGTGTGTGAGAAGTATAAAAGCTGCTGCCAAGAGCCACAAACAGACCCTAGAAATGTCACAGCTGTGAGACTGGTGTTAAATTTAATTCACAATGGTCTTAAAAAGCTCCTAAAAGTTGTTAAACCTGACTTGGTGAAACCTGCATTATGCCTTGCAGCTCTGGTGAAAGGCGCGGGCCGCTCGGTGCAGTTCCATCAGCTGCAGCTCTACAGGCACGAGATGCAGCATTTTGTCAAAGTCATACAGGGTTACATCGCCAACCAGATCCTGCAGGTGTCCTGGACCGAGTTCACGGCCAAGCTGGCCACCGCCGGTGACCTGGACGGCATCCACCGCACACATGCTGACTACCTCAACAGAGCCATCTTCAGGTGACAACTGGAACTGCAAATGTATAATCCGTAACACCACAGCACTGCTGGTTGTAATTGTTGTCTCTGCAGAAATTAGGTTTTATTTTTGACATTTGAAGTTTGTTCTAGACGGCCAGAGGTGATAGTTTGTCTTGGGATGTGTAATTCTAAAATTATTTTTTTTTCTTTAGGCAGATTAAGTTAAGTCCTACTTTTTGGTTATCTTGTATTAGCTCATTTTATTCTCCTCATAACACACTCATTCACATTCCAGTTGAATGACGAGGCTAACTTGCGAACCCGATGAATGATTTAATCTGCGTATGAATAATTTAGGAGAGGTTGTTACTATCACACCGAGGTGTTTCGTGGTTGTGTCTCGCCTTCGAAGGTCATTAAAAAGTTAACTTTAGTCTTTCTGTGACCTTTCTCTCCCCTCGCCCTCTCCAGGGGTCTGCTGACGGAGAAAGCAGCTCCGGTCATGAACATCATCCACAGCATTTTCAGTCTGATCCTCAAATTTCGGGCTCAGCTCATCGCACAACCCTGGGACAGCCAGCAGGGGGAGGCAGTGCACCCGAGCTTCATTGCTATGCAGCAGTCGTACAACACTTTTAAGTATTACTCCCACTTCCTTTTCAAAGGTAAGACCGGAGAATATTGTTTCACCTCTGGCTGAATGTAATTTGGCCTCTGTAGTTACAGTCGAGGCAAGACAGGAAAGATTGAAAAAAAGGGGTTTTACGTCCAGAAATAAATTACTCCTAATGCCTTTACAAATTATAGTAACAGTTTCTGATCTTCCTGATAGATTTTAAGCAGTTTTGTAACCAGTTTAGTATATAGCTGAGATTTTATTGAAGCTTAATACGGATGGTTTCCTTAAGCAAATTAGGTGTTAGTAGTTTTAGATTTACACTTTAGATCATTTTACCATTGGAACACCAAGTTGTGCTAAAGTTCCAGTCATCTGACCCAATTCGCTGCACTCGGATGAAATGAAACTGGAGTGAATGATCAGTATTAATCCAGTCTGGTGCAAACTGGAAATTGCTTGAACACCAGAGTTACTGTTCAGAGGAAAGCAGAATGTAAGGTTATTTTGTGTAACCTCTAAGAATTTCAGGAGAATTCAATAGAGCAGGGGTCCCCAAACTTTTCCTGCGAGGGCCACATGACTGTTCCCTTTCCTGGGCGGGGGCCGGTCTTAGTTTTTCGAGAAGTTTTGTTGACGAAACTGTGGACCGGGGGGGGGAGGGGGGGATTGGATTACTGCCGACGACATATTCGCGTTTGTAGATAGATTTTTACCCAGAATGCAAATGGAAAAAAACCGTGAGCGAAACGGTGACTGGTATTGACTAGTATATATTCCATTGAGGGAACCTAAGTTTTATATCTGCTCAAGAGCCCCCCCTGGTGGTTGAAGAAAAATCCACATATATATGAAAAAAAACACTGAATGCTCTCTGGTATTGTTCAGGGGGCCGGACCAAATGAGGAGGCGGGCCGTAGTTTGGGGACCCCTGCAATAGAGGATCCTTAAACCTCAATTCATAGGTCTAAGAATTGAACATCAATCCAGTTCAGTCGAATTGAGGCTCTGTGCAGAATTCTGACCTCATGTGTATTAAATATGAACTTGTGCATCCAATTCTCAAACTTAGAAATAATTAGTAATCAATAAATAGTAAGTTCTATTTTATTTTACCTCATGAAACATTAATATTTCAGGGGGAAAAAGGTATATCTAAATATCAACATGATATTCATGCAGATTAGTGTATGTAAGCTTCTGGCTTAAGCTGTGAGATTCATGGACTAAAACTTATTTCTCTTCTTTTTTTTTTTTTTCCCCTACCCCTCCAGTGGTGACTAAACTGGTGAACCGAGGCTATCAGCCCCATTTAGAGGATTTCCTGCTTCGCATCAACTTCAACAACTACTACAAGGACTCTTAAGGTGCTCTCTGGTTTCCTGTTGTACATCGTTTAATTGGCTGAACCCTCCCCGTGGGCCGCTTTGAGAAGATATGTTGGATTTATGACGGTGTTCAAACGTCCTTGAAATCCCACCTCTGCTGTCCTCCATTTAGGAACCAAATGGTAATTAATGTTGAGCCCTTAATGGTTTTCATGCACTTAAACAATCAAGGCGACACGCGTGAGCTGAAGCTCCTGACTGTTGTAATGCATCTTGTACACATGTGGGCGTTCACTGATGTATATTTAAAGCTAATATAAATGAAGTGTTCATGTGTGAATACAAAGTTGACATGTTTTCTTTAATGAAAGCTCTGAGTCTGTTTTTATGTAAAATTTCTAAAGTAATGTGTTAAAAAAAAAAAAGAAAACTCCAAGCAGTAACTCGGTTAAGAAATTACATATTTATTAAAGACTGAATGTTAACATTAATGGTTTTAGAAAACCGGGTTTAATTAAGTGCAAAGCATTTCAGGTAATAAATGTAGCCGTTTATAAAAAAGACAGAGTGAAGAAACACGTTCCTGCTAATATTATGGTAATGTACCTCCTTCACTGTGAGTACCAAGAATGTTTCTAATGATACATTACTTACAAAGCAAAAAATATATCAAGGCTGTAGCTCTGCAGCAGGTCGCACACAGAAGGAAAGTTTTAGTTTCCGGATGGAATATTAAAGTTTAAACTAATTTCTTCTAGCCAGTAATTTGCTAAAGAGAAAACACAAACAGCAGCTTTGTCATTACACACACACAAAAAAACCTCTTGATGGGAAACGGTAATCACATTAGTTTGCATTACTCAGGACTCTGGAGGAGCGAAAGTTTGCTGTACATCAGCCTCACTGCAAATAAAGATCCGGCAACAGAAAAAGAGAGCGCTTGATATTTGAGAAGGTTCATTTTAGTGGCTTGTGGTTTGTTGGAGTCTTGAGAAGCAGGCCATCTTTACAGTAGGTGTCGATTTTCTCTACCTTTTCACATTGCACTGATATTGTGAATTAATTTACACAAACAAGTCCCAGATCAGGCATTTCCTTTTTTTTTTTTTTTTTTTTTGCAGTCGTACATGTAACTAAATAAATTTCCCCCAGCTTCACCAACGTGTACATTCCTCAAAGTCATATTTTTATTTTTTATTTTATTTTTTTTGCAATCCATGTTGGCTGTTTCGGTTTAACTTCTCCTTGCCTTGCATTTGTCTGTCCATCACCTGATAAGAGCTAAACTTTAATAGGCCTTGTGAAAGCAGATATGCACATTTTCCAAAATGAACTTCGTCTTAACTATGTACAGCTCCGGTGGAAAAGATCACGTTTGCTCACACTGGACATGAATGTCTGGTTAATTTGAAACCTTTTAGGATGCATTTGGGTGGTTCATCATCTCAGAGGTTGAAGGATTTGCAAATTTTATTTGAAAAACAAGAGTGTACCTTTAATTTCTTTAAACCCCAAAGGGTTGAAATTATACATAGAGGATGAAATATTAACCCTCCTGCATACTTGTATTTGATCATCTTTATTTTGGGAGGAGAAGAAAACAGCTGCTCCAGGTATATGCAGCTTTCCACATCAACGAGATAAATACTTTTTTCAATGAAGGTTTTATGACTAGGCTGGACAAAAAAAAATCCTGAATGGTTCTAGTTTTGAAATGAATGAAAGAACAGCTCAAATGGGTCACTTAAGGCCAAAACTTATTGTTAAATTCATCCGTGAAGTGAGTGTATGCTAACTTTTCACCTTTATGCTAACTGGGATAGCAGGAAAACCAGTTCTAAATCAAATAGTGTTTCTAATCCTCTTCCATTGTTGGTAACATAAACTAAACAAAATCATTTAATGTAACATTCAAGGTCAGGTTCTTTTCTTATCTGTACAAAATCTCCATCGTTTACAGTTTATCTGCTGAAATAAGTTCAAACGGCAAGAAACGTCCAACATTCCCACAGATAACTACGCTTTCAGCTCTTGTGCTTTGAAACATGCGAAGCGGCCGTCTCTGGGCATTCTTTCATGCATTAATGGAGACAATTTGAGTGGAGTTTCCTCTCGTATTACTGTTCGGCACTCAGAACAGAGGCTTTAATCTTCTACAAGTGGAGTCGGTGTCATTTATTCATGAACCGCAACAGTCCCTGCACACACACGCAGATTAAACGGCAAATAGACACACTGACAAATCATATTTACACACGACTCAGAGGAATGGAGCGTAGAGTTGTTTGTTTTTTTTTTTTGGAGGGGGTTCTCGATGAGGATGTTGCAGACAGATTATCCTCAGATTTGTTTTTGTACAGGTAGTGGGGAAACTACTTCAAGCGTGATGTTAATATAGCTCACCAGGAATGCTTAAGATGGTGAAGTGTTAAAGTTTGTGGAGAGAGAGTAAAACATTTTCTCTCCTGCCCCATATTTTATGGCTGATTATAATAAACCTCTATAGTCACTGCAAGCAAAAGCAACCACCATCGTCTAAACTTTCTTTTTTTTTCACGCATTTAGCTTCTTTTGCTGTTTTAATTAGTGCTTAACCTTAAAAGTGCAATATTTGTTTTGTTCAGGGAAGGAAAAAAAATGCCAAAAGAGATTAATTACTTACAAGTTTTTTTTCATACACAAACTCCTTCACGCTATGAGAAGCTGAAACAAACGTAAACCTAAGCTGAGGTGAATAATTCACCACCAGGACCAATCAGAGCGCAGGACCTTAGGATGAGCATGCTGTGTAAAATGGTGTACAAGGAAATAAAGAACTTCAAAGATCCATACTAGTGTAAGCATGGACCAGATGATATTGAACACCAAAGAGATGGATTTGACTTTTGTTTTTGGTCAAACGCCATGACGTAATCTGGAGATGTGGCTGCAGAGGCTCAAAGGAAGTGAACCCTGCGCTCTCGGGATGGTGTTACAGTACTAGAGTTGGGGGCGGGGAAGTCGTAATGATACCTGGTTTTTGTTTTTGTTTTTTTCCTGGAGAGAAAGGAATGTTCTGACGACGACTAGGCCTCAGACTCCAGGTCTTCTTGGTTCTCTCCGCTGGTCGAGTCGCCCGTCTCGGGTTCCAGAAGAAGAAACTTGCCGTCGTTGGTCAGAGGCATGTTCTTCATCAGCTCGGCCAGAGCTTCTGGATCCTTTAACAGAAACAGACCGATTTACTTCACCTGCTTTGGATTGAGACTGTGCAAGTGATTCTATGGTGTAAATACACTGACTTACAAAACGTAAGTTTTCACATTTTGTCACGATACAGTCAGACGTCCACATATTTTTTTTTTTTTTTGGTTGCTTTTATTTTTCGCCTCCTTTTCTCTGATATCCAGAATTAAAATCCAGTGCAACCAGCTCTGACATTGGAAGTTGCCTCGTTATGAAGTTTCTTAGTGAACAAACAGAATCATGGAGAAGGGAGAAAGTATGTGGAGACGTTTATGAACCCGTTAGGTTATAAAACTATATCTCCAACCTTGGAGCATCTCAAATAGCACTGCTTGGTTCATCAGAAAACTGAAAGAGTATGACGATGTAGTGGGCGGAAATCTGAGTCTGTAGGTGTCCAACACTAGTAGAGACAAATGTTAACGCACTGTTAGAGGGTTCCACATGGTTTTGACTCAGAGGAGCTGGTTACATTTATTTTCATGTCACAACTACGCACCAAACGAGTTTGGTTCTGAAAATGTGAAGAAGTTCCAGGGAAATTTCCTTTCACTCTAGTTTACGTTCCAGGTGCTCCCTCTAGTGGAGACATTTAGTCTTCTCTTAATTTAAATCATAATTCACTTCAAACTAAATAATTTTTAATGCTGAAAATCCAAACATAATGGAGTCATATCAGTCCTGACATGGATATAAAACTGTCGCCTCACTTTACGCTTTTACATTAAAAAAAATAGAATTAATCAAAAGAATCAAGAATGACATCCTGGATTTCGATTTGTCTTCCGTTTCCCATAACAACATATTTACCTTCTTTGCTTCTGTAATCTCCTTTGCCAAGTTTATGGTGTAACATATCTGTGAATGAAAGGAAGAGGGCAGAACTAATTACACTCTTTCAGCATCGGTGAGCATGCGTCTGAAGTCGAGCAGGAAAAAAAAAAAAAAACACGTATTTTTGTGGGGAGGCGAAGAGCTGAACCTTTTCGCCCTCCGTGTTGCTCTCAAAGACAAAGGCGCTGAACGACGGCTCTCCCTCCTCGTTCCCGTCGCTCCAGTCTCTCCCCTCGACCACAAACCCCATCAGCCTCCCGTTCTCCTGATGGGCTGCGAACTGGCACACCTCTTCTAGCTGGAACTGAGAAAATAAAAGGTATTAACGTGGGGCAGACAGCATGATGGGAGCCTTTAATTAAAAGCAGTGACCCGATTTTTAGGGCGTGCTTACGCTTATTCTTGTTACTTGAGTTTGTGGGTCAATCAACCTGTGAAGGAGAAAATAAAATACTTTTAGGATGTTTTTGCCTTCTTTTTTTTTTCTACTTTCAATTGTAACCATGTTTTTATTTGTCATTTTTTTAAGAATGATACAAATACTTTGTAGAGGCATCAAGAGAAAAACAGCTTGATAAGTCAAAGTCTTACAAAACCAGACAAAAATTACATACCCCTAAGCTTTAATGCTAGAAATGTGATTATTAAGGCAAATGTGTCACATGGGTGATTATAGCTCACCACTCAGGGAAGGATTATATTGGGGGTGGCAAGAAAAAGGGGGGGAAAAAAAAGGAAAACCTCATCAGTTTGTACTTTTTTAAATGAAATTAAAGAATATTTATGTGCCCAGTAAGCAGTGGGTACATCTAGGATCTCCACCCTGTGTTTCAACATGTTTGCCTGTTTTGCACTCTAAAAGATTCAGACGATATTCAGCATTTTCAATAGTTTTTAAAATGAAGAACTGCTTAATGGATGCTTTTTAATAATGTATGTCAAACAACAGAGGATAAAGAGTTTATTTCCTCCCTGGATAAGAACTACAAATTACATTGCAAATGGATGCTAAAAGAGCATTTCTCCAAAAAAAAGAAAAACCCACAAACAAAAAGAACAAACAGAAATACCTGAGGCTGCTGCTGGTGACCATGAGGTGGGCCTCGGTGGTCCTGAAGATGTTGTGGATGGCGCGGGCCGCCAGCACCTGCCTCATGGCCTCGTAGATCACCTCCTGGTTGTTTCCGCACCGAACGGCCATGGAGCCCAGGAAGCGCACGGCGAACACCTGCTGCAGGAGGGAGTCTGCGGAGGTAAACGGACAATCATTTACAACAGTTTAACACAAACAGTGTCTTTACGGGGCACGTGGAACAAGTCTTAAGGTTACCGTCACTCTCTGCTGTACACTCTTCCGTTTCCCCAAAAGGATTCGTCCGCCTGTAACGATGCGAGCACATGCATCAGCGAAACAAAAAACGCAGTTAACCCCCTGCGTCGCCGGCCATTATGAAGATCTCGGCTTCCTGGAAATGATGTAATCAACTCAGTGAGGCCAGTGTTTGGGGAAAATTAGCGGTGCCTCACCCCCCGCCTGCATATGGATAAACAAGCATAATCATGCGACTGCTCTGCCTCACCTCCCCCCGGCTCTGTTCTGGTCCTGGAACTCGGACGCCGGCAGCATGATGTCGAACTGAATGGGCGTCCCAGGAGCGATCAGGTCCTCTGGTTCTGGAGCGGCCCCTGATTTCTGGGAATCGCTTCCTGCGGGTTGAGCACCTCCCGGCTTGGCTCTGAAGGGACAGGACAAAGGATGACTGAGCTTCAGGGAACGAACTCGCTAAAGGCAAGCTCGCTTTTATTTCTAGGACTTTCATAGAGCTAGCAAGCACATCTTTGTGTTGACTGAAATGTTTGACTGAGCATGTTAAAAAGGTCTTTTGGCCAATACCGACTTCATCCTGTTCAACAGAAAAACTTCTTGTAGGAGAACTATGTCAATTTGCAACAGTTTCGCATTAATAACAACATGACGCACTAAGCAGTTCTCTAAATACAGCAGTGTGTTTTAAAGTGTGATGCTGACCTGTCGGGGTTGGGTGCACCTTCTTGTCTCTTCTCAAAGCTGGTGATTGGAGTGACTGCCTGTATGGCGGTTTGGTTCAATCTGATAGCGACGGCCTAAAGAGGAGCAAAGCCTTTCAATAATTAACATAAATCAGGATTAGGACGGTAGAGAAGATAAATGAGACAAAACGGGCTGTGTTGAGAGACTGAAGCTGTGAAGCTTTATTAAATTAGTTAATTCTAAAATTATTCTCCATCTGCTGCTTAGCTCGCCATGTTTAAGCTCCTCCAAACTGTCTCATTTCTATTTATTGCTCTCAATCTGACCAATTTGTGCTGGGAATTGGGCCGATGAGATGTGATTCTGAGAAATGTGGGGCTGCCATTACTGACAGTTTCTAAAAGCAGCAACACGGGACCTTACCAAAGTATTTTTACAAACTTTGATAACTTACATATTCTATGTGATAGACTAACACAAAGGAGCACAACTGTAAAGCAGGAAGAAAATTACATGCCGTTATTGAATTAAAATAAAAATAAAAAAAGTGAAAAGTGTAAAAACTCAGCATACTGCTAGCATTGTGTTCTACAAACAGGGATGGTGGGATAATTGCTGCTCTGTTTAACATTCAAATTGTGCCTTTACCTCTGGGTTATCAGTCAGGTAGATCTGCCTGGAGATGTTGTTCACAGTGCAAATCCACTAAGAAACAAACACAGACACAGATTAGACCTCCCTCTGGTTCTGCCACAACGTCCCCGAAATAACTCGACTGATACCAGCTGTCAGAGACCACTCAGACGTGTCCGAGCAAAAACAATGATGAAAGCCTGACAGCGTCTCCATTGTCCCGTGACAGATACTCGTAGCAGCACATCTCTCTGTGATGAAGATCAAACAAACCGACGTTTAAGCTGCCTCCTCTTTCACTGACCTCCTCGTACTCCTTTTTGCTCTCAGCTTGTAGAATCATCGACCTGCGGGAGGCGGGGAGGGGCGTGAACGATAACGGAGGCAATTAAAACAAGTTTGATCGTATTTTTGGCTTGCTTGTAATTGTCAGAAGCGGAAGGGCGCGCGTACGTCTTTCCTGAGGGGGAGGTTATCTGAAAGCAGTAACGTCTGTCCTCGCACTCCACCGCCATGACGGAGCTGTTGTCCAGGTCCAGCACCATGCCCCCCGCCACGGCCCCTCGAGGCTGGCACATGAGGTTTCCTCCCTGGGTGAAGAAGAAGAGTCGATCCCAGGCTGTGGTCACCAGGCCTGTTTTACTGGGAAACGGGAAGAACGACGACAGCATGAGTAAGACTAATGTGATGACCTGCGCAAACAGGAGGATCTACAGAATATAATCAAATCATCCATCCATTTCTTTTATTTACATTTCAGCAGTGGCTTAATTCTGACAAATATGACAAATAAACTTTTAACTACCTGTTTCTACCTGGTGAAAACTAACATTAGCACAAGTTTCATCAGTGATTCACCCTGTCTGGTTAATATTTGCTCCGCGAACACAACTAACGATGTGTTTTATCATTACAAAGAGCCTTATTGGACATGAATGGAGCGTTAAGCATTAGAGCTTCAGCCATGACAAACAGGAATTCATTAAGATTCGCCACGCAGGATAGTAGCACCTGTTTAGCTTTCTAAAACTAAGTTTGAGTCACTTTTGATGCAAAAGTCATTTGTCCTGATCATTTAGCTGTCAGCAATTTCCACATGGAAACTGAAATATAATCACAGTGTGTGCCTGATAAATTTCAGAAATATAAATTATGATTAGCTCAACGCTAATCTCAGTTCTGATGCACAACTGACACAGGAATGCTTATAACTTTGTGTAAAGAAAATTTTGTGAGGTGTGAAAAAAATTCTGAATGCCAAAAGGTATTTGCCCCATTAAGATTCTTAAATTGAGTTTTTCCACTTTTTAATTTTTTTTTCCTGTGGGCCCTGTGTTCTTGCAGAGTCTACAGATTTCAAATGCTTTGTGCTCCTTTAATGCCAGCTACTACTCTGTAGTTGGCATTAAAACAACTTAAGCTTACACCAGGCCAAACCACTCTGGGCTGTTAAGTTAATTAATTCAGCTAGGGTTAGGGTTTTTTACCTTTCATGAAGTTTTTGATTGAACTTGATTAATTACATATTTTCTAGGCACATAGAGCCACTTTGTAGCACAATCAAGTAACTGTTACCTTCAGTTATAAAAAATGCTGTATATCTCAAACACTACTTTGCAATTTGATGACTGGAAAATTGGCCTCTGTGTCTTTAAGAAGCGCCAACCCTTTCCGACACATAATCGCACCTCCATCATCTCGTTTACAGACGTTCTTAGGAGCTTTACACTGAGAAGTACTTCATATGAAGAGCTAAGCAGATGCACAGTTCCATCAGGTGTTTGCTAATTGCTGCTGCCGCTAGTCTGGAGGAACTCCAGGTATAGTTTTGATGAGGGAACACATAAGAAAAGGTCATTTTTACATAATACACTCCCCCTTGTTGCAGAGAAGTGAGTGACTTGAATTACTGAAATTAAATTCACTTTCATTAATACTGTAATTTATTAAATGGGTTGTCATCTACGTGTTTATGAAATCCATTAACCTATGGATTTCTAAACTACAGGTGTGTGATTCACATGAATTAGTCATCTGTGTTCCTTTTTTCTCCTTCCACGTCCTGTTTGCGAAATAATCGGAAACCCTTAGATAATCTTAGATAAATACTGAGGTGTGTGGCTCCCGGTGGACTCTGTGACTCAAACGCTAAATACTAAGAAACCATTACAAACAGCAGAGCTCATTTGCCCTCAGTCCCATCAAAGAACTTGAGGTTGCACTTGCTGTTCAGAGTGACTGGTGTTCTGGGAAACCTTTTTCCTTTGGAGTCACAGACATTTGTCAGAGAGCTTTGATGTATATGAGGGAGCGACGGGGTTTGACAGCGCTGGCATTTCACTAAATCACAACGCGCGCCACGCTGCGGTTTTATCCCCTCTGGCCATTAAGGAAGATTTCCTTCTCATACATCTGCTCTACAATAAGCTGGCAGAGCACGCTGCCACCATGCTACCTGACCCACCTCGTCTTCTTTGACACTTATTGTTTCTCTCCTTTATGTTTTCTGCATATTAATGGAGAGGAAAAAAAACTTCCCAACAGAATACCATCAGTCACAACTAACCAGGAAACATCCCTGGAGCTCAGATAGGGTCAAAATTATGGTAATCAATCTTACAGGGTATCTGCAGGCTTCAGCAAGTCAAATTTCTAAGGCCACCTTGAATTACAATTTTTTTTTTTTTTTTTTTTTTGCACATAACGCACCTACCCTTATATTGGTAGGTTACAGAAATAAACCTGTGGCAAAAACAAACGTCCTGCCAACTGGAAATAAATTTGCACTTACCCATAATAAACAGCTAGCTAGACGGGGTATATTAGCAGCTAGTTAGCGGTAGCCTCAACTGCCTGCAGTCACAGAACGCAATGAAGATGTTTACGTGTGACTCAAACATTTTCCTGGCAGAAACTTACATATGAGATTAAATAGTCCTGCCAGGAAAAAAATTTTAAGACCTGCGATTAATGTATTTATGAGTCTAAGACATTTCAAGACGGATGAATTTAGGACCATGTTAGGATGCACATACACCCCGTCTTACTTCCTAATGTTGAGGTAGCCAGCCTTCTGGATAAGAGTGCGATTGACGGTTTCAGTTTCCTTATCCGGCATATACACGGTGTCTTCCACAGACAGAAGCTCCTTCTGCGCCATGCGCATGGTCTCGGCCTCGGCGTCCAGCTGCTTCTGGATACTGGACAGAAAAATTACATTTTAAAGGGAAAACATCTCAAGTTAATTGTAAATCCAAAATATTCACACCCCTGAATTTTTCCACACGGTGTCACATTGCAACTGTAAGTTTTCCTGGATGTTTTTTTTGGGTTTTTTTTTTTTTTTTTTGGGAGGGGGGACTAAAATAGAAGTGCATCATTGTGAGGAAGTGAGACTGATTTACGTGGTTTTCAAAAATGTTTTTCAAATGAAAGTCTGAAAAGTGCGGCAGCCGTTCAAGCACATTCCTCTCTTAAGATCTAATATATACGATAAAGGTTGGCGGTTGTGATGTGACGTTAAGTGGAAAGATTCAAGGATTTTTCAAACATTTACAAGATATTAAGAGGCAAAGTTGTGCTTCATCAGTTGCACACATTGACTATTAAAGTTAATTACTTTTGGGCCATGTTGGACACTGAGGAGAGAAAGCTTTCCATCTTCTTTGACACAAGCTCAAGGCCCTTCTTGAAAAAGCTGATCTGTGAGTGAACAGATAGAGTCATGGTTAGCCATTACGCCACATTTCCTGGGTGGGTCTGCAATTAAAATGTCTTTATACTCATTTTCTTCTTGCCAACAAAGCCAATAAGACACAGCTTCTAGCTTCATATTTATTAGCACATCCTAGTGAATCAGTGCGCAAACCCTTAAATAAATAAATCATTTATTGCTCTAGTCCTGTAACACTATGCTGTAAGAACTGTGAAATCATCGTCAATCACTTTAATTTGAGTAGATCTGCTCATTGGGGTGGCAGAAAAAACTCCAACATTAATATTAAAGGTTAAATTCATACTAAACTTTTTAGGTTTATCAGAGGGGCAAGGAACTGACTCTCTGCTTCCCTGGGGTAAGAATATCATGTGACACAAAGGTAGATTTATCTTGGACACTTCCAAGTGGGAAAGACATAAGAACATGCTTTCTCTAGTCTACTCTTCATCCCCAGAACCAAACAAGCAAGCTCACCTGTTTAGAGCTGCCTTTGATTCATAAGAATGTAAATGTGATGTTTAAATGCTTGCTTCATAATTGGACACCATTATGTTTTTATGGCGTAAAGCACTTGGCACTCGCTGAAATGTGCGATACAAATAAACCTAGGAACTTAGGAAACGACAACATTTCTGCCTCTTATTGCGAACACATGCACGATCGCCGAAATGTGCTGGGACACAGTTCAAAGGTCAGTACCTGCGCCTGGGTGTAGCCCAGCATGGGCTCGAGCATTGCGACTCTCTTGCGGTACTGCAGGGCGTTGAGGGCGCAGTAGTACTGCAGCGAGGCCTGGTGCTGCTTCCTCCTGGTGTAGGCCACCTCCTTCACCATGTCTGCCTTCAGCTGTCCAAACAGAATCGACCTGAGCATGCAAATGGATCCCTCGCACATGGATAGCTATCGAGATTTGCACTCCCCTGCGTATTGTATGCAAACAGTCGTCACGCTCTTAAAAATGCAAATGAGCGAGCTCCCATCTCCTTGTCCACGCAAAACGACACGCTCTCATGTTTAATAGCTGCAGCGTCTGCTCTTCAACGTGAAGTGTTGCAGTTTTAGAGCACATTTAGCTCTGCAGCAGGTCGCTTTTTGTTCACATCGCACAGTTTCAAATGGTCATCGAACACTTGCACTGCATTAACAGCAGCGCTACCGCTCTGGAAGGCTTTTTGCAGCTTGTTAAATTGGCACTTTGCAGTTACTCTACCTTTTCGTTCTCCTTCTTCTTGGGCAGTCGGCTGTACTTGACCATAGCCGCCTCATGCTCTGATCAGCAGGAAAGAGAGAGGGGGGGGCGGAGAGGGGGGACATTGTATCAGCAAATAAGGCCTGCAATTTCCTTCTGAAAGCACCAAAAGTTGACGCTTACCATCAGTGGCGATACCGAATATTTCCTTCAGAGTGCTTATCTCTGAAAAGTTTAAAAGTTTAGTTAAATAATCCAAGATAAATGTGGGAAAACTTTCTCTGTTTATTCCCGTTTTATATTCGGCTACCTGTGAGGTCTTTCTCTCTGAACTGGATCAGGGGGAACACCATGCTGTCAGCCATCTGGTTGGCCAGCTCGGAGTGGAGCGAGTTTAGCTGGGAAAAAGAAAGAAAAAAAAAATTACACATTTAAAAAAAAAAAAAAAAGCTCAGCAGAAGGACAGGAAGCGGGGCCTCAACAGACATCTTGGAGGATTCTCGTTTATATTTATATTTTTTTTCTTGAAGGTTACATTTTCAAGCTAGGAAAGATCATTTTTCAATCACCGAGTGGGTTTCACTGCAGAGAAAAGCCTCCACTCTGTGGAGCAGAGGGTTATGTGGAGGATAACAATAATAAAACCCTTCTGTTTACCCTGATAAAGGAAACAGGATCTCACAGATGAGCAAATCCTTCTTTTATTGTTTGCGCTTATCAACAAGCTCCACGCCAACGGCTAACAAGTCTGAAGGATGAAGCTGGTGGATTTGGTTTGACTGGATGGGAGCGGATCGGCTGGATTAGATTCAGGACCGAGCCTCGTTTCCTCGCCGTGGACGATGAAGTAGAAGGTCGACACCTCGTGTCTTTGACGACGTGAGTCCTGGGCAGGTTCCTGAACCCCTGCAGCTGACGGGGACAAGTCCATCTGCTCTGCCTGCGCACACACTCCTGATTCAGCTACGCATCCATCCATCGACCCGCCGCTCTGCTCCGCTGTGTTCATCCATCCAGCATGACACACATCACATCCGCCTCCCCGCTTAGCCACTCGGTTCCGGTCTCACAGGACTGATAGTCTGTCCATCTTCTTATTAGGCTCTTTTTTTTTTTTTTTTTTTTTTTTCCCGCCCTGCAGGAGGCTGAAGGGAGCACAGGTGCAAAATCTCCCGTAATGAGATAAAGAACCCAACTAATAAGTTTGGAGCAGTTTATCATCGCTCGGTGAGAGCACGGATTTACGGAGAACTGCCACGGAGTGACGCTAAGAAGGACGGGGCCTTACCTCTCCAACGGTTTTTGCGAAGCTCTGTAGTGTAGTTATGACCTCTTCGTCACCTTTCCCGAGGGCAAAATTCTAGACAGAAGGAGAAATGGTTTGAGTTGTTTAACTCTGAAAACCTAAAGTGTAGGGAAGTTGGGCGTTAGTTTCTGTCAGAATACCTCAAAATGAATCTCTAGTTTTTCTCTTTTAAAAACATTTTTCCTGTGTGACTCTGTATTAATTCTACAAAATGATCTGCTGTGATTTTTACATTAGCTATGAGAAAATTAATGGATACAAGACAGCTTTCTGTTTGTTGTTTTGATGTCAGTATAGGGATAATTGAAGCATATTTCACTTCTCATATCACACCTACACTAGATGATGGGCTGGTCACGATACTGGGTGTCTGTCTGGAATAGAGAGATGCTGTTTACACCGTTTCTACAATATTCTGGACCAGACTTCAGAAAGGGCTTACAGAGGCAGTAGCCCAGGGCGCCAATTTTTGGGGAGGCCTCACAGATTTTTATTCATTTTATTTATTTTAATGAATGCCTGTTTTGCAAATATTGTACGTTAGATAGGTGAGCTGTGTTAATATTTTGGGATTTTTGTGAATATAAACAACAACTAAAGTATTTGAAAATGTTTTTTGATTTTTTTTTTTTTTTTTTTTGCAAAGGGACGCAACAAAAAAATCTAGCATCTTCAATTAGTGTCATCAGTTCATACCTGGTTTATGCAAATGTAATTTGCATTAGTGAAATAACTTTTCTTTTGTGGACAGGGCACCAAACAGTTTCCAGCCCAGGGGCCCAGATCCTTATAATTCGGCCCTGATGACAGGGGAGTTCCACGTTCAGCTACCCAGCGAGAATTTAGCCTTTAACCTTTAACCTTCACAACAGCAGGGGGCATCATCCAACTATCACATAACTGATTTCAATTATGCCGTGTTAAAAAAAAAAAAAAAAAACAGATACTCTGTTATTCAAAACAAAAACACAATAAATCTTAAAGGGCCTTTTTAAAACAAACTGAACAATTCACATATTAAACTTGACAAATTCACATTTCTGAATGAAATATTTTCCTCATAAACTATCATAAATCTTTAGGGTTTATTTGAAAAAAAGTTTTCAGTTGTTTGTTCAGAAACAAATAACATCACAGCCGACATCTAAAGTCACTTCAAACCCAACATATTCATATTTACTTGTCTGTGCCTCACTTGCAGCATATTTCAAATTGCAGCTCTTCCCTTTTAGAGGGGAGTGTCACAGAAATATAACCCGGTAGAAGCCTGAAGAAGAACATTTTCTATTATCGCCACCTGCTGGTTCCGCCCTCACAAGAGTTTCCACGAGACTTTAATGCGCCCGATTGGTCTGAAAGAATCCTGTCCTCTGTGAAGCAGCAGCATGTGAACCTCAGTCTTTCACTCGTCCAAACCGAACCACACCCAGCCCGTCTGTGTGAACACCTTGTCTTTTTCAAAAACCTGTGCTGTCAAAGTGCTGTGGCCTGTCCCCAGCTTTAGAAACTTTTAATTAAACCTAGGTTGTTTGTTTCTGTCCAGCTTTGTCTTGGTCGACTAATTAGCGTTACTTTGTGGATGAACTCTTTGATGTGGATGCTTAGGTGTCTGCAAACTTACTTTCTTTTCGTAGTCGAGAAGCTGCTGTGAAAGCTGCTCTGTGGCCAGTCCCATTTCACTCTGCAAAGACAGGAGGAGGACGAGGCGTTGCTTATTATGAAAGGTTAATTACAAGAGATCAGCATGTAGCCTCCCCTTGTGTATCATAAAGGAATTAACAAAATAAAGAGATAAGGGATGAGTCAAAGTTCACTTCATTTTGAACACAGCGTGTGCGCTTTGGTACCTGAGCTCCAAACACCCTCTGCATGGCCTGCAGCAGCTGGTTGGTATACTCCGTCAGATTCCCTGCATCCTCCTCAAACACACTCAGCAAGGAGCGGGTCTGTGGGACGACACGGAGAACGTCAGAGGGCCAACGGGGAACAGTTCCCTGCATCTCTTTACCACCCGACTCGCAGTGAGGGAGAAGATTAGTTTCAAGATCTGGACTTAAGAAATTTCAGGAAGTACTTTCAAAGGAAATCCAACCAGTTTTTTTATTTTATTTTTTTTATAACTCAACATAAATTACATTTATTATGTAAAAATATACATTAGAGAAACTTGAAAGGTTAAACTATACAAGAGAAGAAAAAAAAATCAGTGGTTTAAATTTTTATACAGTAAATAAAAAATCCAAAAATGATAGTTTATGGATGGAAAGCGCAAGCGAACAGCAATTTTCAAGTCTTACTACAGTCCTTCTAACACATTAATGTGCCTTGATCTAATCTAGTCCATATGAAAACTGTATATCATCCCCTCAGCATGATGTGGCCACCACCGTGTTTTATAATGTGGTCAGTGTAATGTGCACGCTGAACACAACACTTAACGATGAAGATGCTAATTAGATGTCCTGTAATTGTATTCAGTATTATCATATAAAGGAGAGGGGGAAGTAGAAATGAATACCAGACTTTTTAGATTTCAGCCACAAAAATGTGGAAAAGGTTTGAACGACATTAATATCCTTGCAAGTTTAAAGAGAGGATAAGAGAACGAATTGAGGTTATTTCATTAGGAACTGATAAGCTGAGTTAAGGTGGAAATAAAGACATGAAGATTATTTTACTACAGGCTGGCTATGCAAACTAAGAAAACTCAAGTTGGAGCCAAGTCATGGTAGCAAACAGGTGCAGCAAGGAAGTGCAGAGAGAGCAGAGAGGTACACGCCCATAAGGGATAGGTCTGTTTACATTTCTCAGCAGTTGACTTTTGGCACTCAAAGAAAGATAAGACTCATTACATTAAAAAGAAATTATTAGCAGCATTGTCAGCCTTGGCTTTCTTTCTTTTTTATTTTAGGCCTGTTTCTAGTGAAGAAAAACTTCCTGAAAAGGGAGGAAAATGTACATCTTTATGTCTTCTTGCATGAGTTGCACTTAAACTAGAACCCAGTAGAGATGACAACACTGTTTGAAGCAAAACTGATGCAACAAACAAGAGAAAACAGCCCGGGGAGCAAGTCGAGGGTCTCCAGAGCTGATTTAACTCTTCCGTTATGCACTGAAATCCTGCAAACGTAGCGATATTAGTCAGTGACACAGCCCTGCTGCAGACTATGATGGAAACCTTTCCCACACCCTAAGAATCAGGCCAAAACTGGCTTTGCTGCAGGCTACAACCGAACTCTACATATCGCAGAGGAAAATAAAACTGTACAGAGAGTAGTATTCACACTGAGCCATATGTTTGAGACAGAAGCCTTAGGATGTACACTATATATACATGAAGACAACCCTATGACGAGAGGTAGCACTGTAAATATAATACACGCCACAAAATGTGTGATATTTACATAGGAGGTTGTGTTTGCGGTAGAGAAGTGTTTTTCCTAATCACGGGGGGATTACGTTCTAATAATGTGGCAACTGGACGCTTTCATCATCGACCAGTGGAAACAGCCTACAGTGGGTACTGGATACTGGCTAGGCTAACGTAAAGCTAACCGCTGCGCTGGTAGCGCACTAAACGGGATAACTGTGTCTCCGCACACGAGAAAAAAAAAACACACAGGCGTACCTGAGGACTGTCCTGCAAGGCGTCCTCAAGGAGCAGTTTATGATGTACGGCAGGCATCTTGTTAACTGTACCAGGAGACGGGAATGAGGGGCTGGAAATACTAAGAATGAGAACTCTGTTTCCCAGAAGTCTCAGCGTGACTACGTAAAATTGGGGGCAGTACTCTGATCGCGTCTCACCCACCCACACAAATTCATTGGAAATAAACAAATAAAAACTGCCGCATTCAATCTTTGAGAGGATAGTTTTTATGATTTTGATGTTATTCTTTGAAGCCTCATATTTATTGTGATTTAAAGTGTAAGCCTAGCTCAAGCCAAGTGTAAGCTAGCTAAATATGAGCTAGCTAAATTAACAAGGAACAAGTGTTAATAGTGCCCCCTTGTGGTACTAACGGGATTTACAGCCGCTTGACATAATACTTAATATAGAGAATTTTGTGAAGAAAGTTTCAATGTTATTTCCCTCAGTAATATATATATTACTATACTATATTTTTTTTATCTGCACTTTTGGGGCTCTACATGGCTCAGTGGTTGAGCAGATGTATAATACACAGTTCTCAGCGCAGTTGTCCCCAGTTCTGTAAGAGAATGGTAATAAATCAAACCAGTTACTGTGGCGGATTGATAAAAATGTGAGAGAGGAACACGTGGAAACTCTGCAAAGTGTTTAAACACATTTTATCAAAAAAATAGATCTAATCACTTATAAAACTGACTTTGCAACCACAAACTAAAACAGTAAAACATTTTAATGTCTCTGTATTAAAAGCCAATGAGTGAATATGTTTTGTGCTGATGGTCAAAAGCATTGAGAGCTGGAGCCTGTATGATGTGTGGGTGACCCTCGAAGTCTTTAAAAGATAAAAGCCTCAGTTTCATAAAAAAAAAAACAACAAATTGGCGTATGAGTTTAAAACATTTTTTTTTCTGAATTAAAATTTTAATAACCAAGCCCTTAAATATTTAATGTCTTATTTTCTAAAGGTAAGAATGTGCTCTGGTCAGATAAGAGCAATATTGAATATTTTGGAATACATACAAAACACTGTGTGGCAGAAAGCTAACACTGTACAGCACACAGAGAGAAACATGGCGGTGGCAGCATCATGTTGTGGAGAAACTTTTCTTCAGCAGGCACAGATAAATAAAAATATACTTGTCCATGCTTCATCTTGAATCAAGCATGGACCTGACTGACCCAGTCAAAGTCTAGTACAGCAGGTCTCCCTTAGCTTTCAGAATTACCTCATGCAGAAGCTTAGAAGCTTTACAAATCTTTCCACATGAAGCTAGCAAAAAGTTGACCCTTCAGTGCACCCATCTACATCCCACTGATATCTTAATTATTTGATCTGATGCTCTGCAGCAGCTGAACCCAAAATAAACAGTCTTCCTTGTGTCTGTTTATTGGAAAACTTCAAAGACCTACTTTTGGCTTTTGGCTATCAAGTGAGAAAAAGCCCATTAAAGGCTTTTGAAGATCTGAATAACGGTCTAACTGATCAAGGCGGCTCTCATTGTGCTGCATATGGCTAGTCTAAACAAGCAGGTCAAAACGCTCCCAGGCAGAGCAGAAAAGATTTCCCTTCTTCTTCCCAATGGACTTGTGTTGCTTTATTGTCCAAATTAGACAGTGCATTTTGCACTCTCACTATACTAACTTGTTAAACTTGAAGGTACCACTAAGTCTGCTTTTAATTCTAGATGCTCTTTCTCAATGCACCCTGCATAGAAGGGAGATCCAGCTAAATAAGAAAAAAAAAGAAAACATAGGGCACATTTTAGGAATGACAATTAATGCTGATGCAGTTTTTCTCCTTGGGGATCATGAAGATGGTGGGGATTCATCTCAATTAGATGCTAAACAAGTAACCACATGCTAGAAGCAGAGAGGGAGCCAAGGAATTGCAAAGAAAATCCCAATTCATACTTTTTTTTTGTTCTTTTTGTAAGAAAATTATCATAAAACTTTCAAGAAATCCATGTTTTGTGGTGAGGATTTTCTTTTTGGCCACACAGAAGCTATAAATCCTTGAAGCGGTGACACTTCTCCCCACAATTTGGTTAAGCCAGTCCGGCTGTGAGGTCAGAACTGTATCTGTATGCCAATCCAGTACCAATTTAGCTCCGGTGTGAAGTCATATATCTCACCCAAACGCTTCCACATCAAGATTTTATCTGCATCGTGAAGGGTTCCCATGGGAAGTTTGTGTGACACCGACATCCACAGATGCTAGAGCGCTGCTGTCTACATGATCTGTGGGATGGATTTGGAGAACCACAGGTGAAAGCAGCACAAAATGTTTATTCATTTTACACAAATTGACTTACAAACGAGAATCTAGGAACACGATTACTATCAAAAACCGGCTTAGAAGGAAGCCCGCCAATCAGATTCTGTTAGAGGTCCAGAAGAGTTACTAGAGGCACAATAAGGGTTCCTTGATGTCTGCTGACATGAAGAGTTCAAACTTAAGTTCACACCACCAGAGAAAATTGACTTAAAGTTCAAGAACAGAGTATGTTGATCCAACTGAACACACTAATCAGAAAAAAAACTATTTTTAGATATAAATTTTACAGATTTGCTGAGAATGTATTGACTGACAGTGCAAGGATAAAAGAAAGCAAAATATCATCTGGGAACTCAGAACTATTTTCTCTGTGCGAGTCTTGTTTTTGTGTTCCTTAGTTGTGCTGACAGATTGTTATAATTAAATTTGTGCATCATTAAGATCCCTGCCATCTCTCATATTCTTATATTGTCACATTCAACTAAAACATTTTCTGTTTTGTCAGTTGCCAAAATTTGTAGTGTTTGCTAAATGTCAAAAATAATGAGAGAGATAAATTGTTGCAAGTGTACACTGCACTGGACTTCAACAGCGTCGTTGTTCATTTGAAAAATCAATTTTTGCCCCAGTTTGAAATTTCCTCTGAATATCTCCAGATGTTGCTACAATGTTTCTACACAATCTTCCTTCCTTCCTCATGACGCCTTTTACACTGTGAACACCACCAGTGTTTTCTGCAGCGTGATGCTTCCACCCCTGTACTTTACAGTCAGACATAGTCAGATAACAGTACAAACATCACGGTGTTTTCCACTGAGTGCATTTGCAAAGTGTAATCTGACTTTTACTGTAGCTTGTGGAGAACCGACTTCTTCTTCTTTTCTGATTGGTCTTTCAGCCTGTCAGTGCAGAACCCAACTGATGCTGTGGATAGAAACACATGCTGCTGCTAGCTTCAGTCCGCTTCTTCCAGCCTCTTTTGTTCAGAGGCTGAACAAAAGAGGTTCAACACAAGCGGTTGGTTTAGGGGTCTAGCAGAATTTGATTTAGGTCCCCTCTTACTATTAGCAACTTCAAAACAACAGTTTTATTCCAGACCAGAAGGAATCTGAATGGACGGGCCATGTTTGATGGAAAGTCAGTGACGAAGATGTATTTCTGAACAAGTCAAGCTCAAACACAAAGAAATGATTAAATTTGTGTAGAACAAACAACACAAAACTGATAGCAGCAGATTATTACTATTAAGGATTATTTTTTGTCTATTTCTCTAACTCTTAAGACAAATTTTTAAGCTATTTAAAACCTAATAGTACTGTCAGTCTCAATAAACGGGGACAGATTTTTGGTTGACCGGGATTTTGAGGGCTCCAGATGTCAAAGATGCCTCAATAAAAGCTTAACAGTTTAATGAAATGTTGAAAGAAATCCTGAGTGAGCTTGTCATTATCAATTAATGTGAGGATTACCATAGAACGAAACAACAAACCGTGTCTGTCCTGCAAGAGCTCCAAAGAGCATGACTGGAATAAATCAAAATGCCCTGAGAACTGCCGGGGGCCAAGACATGACCCTTGTGTGGCATTTGCGGTTTCCTATGCCGGGTGTTTGGTGTTCGTCTGTAGCTGGATTGTTTTTAGTCGGAACCCAGAGGAGTCGGCTTTTAGCTGCGAGCCTCGGCCGCAGAGAAACCTCAAGATCCTCTGTTTCCATCACACAAAAAAGCAAACTGGGAATTTCACCGTGAGCTTCTCTCTCCCACAGGCGGATGCATCGATGCCCTTTAGTACAGTCAATTTTTTACACCTTCATGCAAAACGGAAGCTCCCCATTGGTTAAAGTCACACTCCACCCTCCGCCTTCTTTACCCTGGTTTCCCGGGCAACCATGTCAGGGTGGAGAAAAAGAGCAAATCATGTGAGGGCAAAGCATCTTTCTCTCCATCTCCCCCCCACTCTGTCTCTCTTCCTCTCTCTCTCTCTCTCTTGCTGTCATTCTCTCCGTCTCAGTGTGTGTACGTATAAAAGCGTCTCAGAGCTTTCACCTCAATCTGAGCTCTCTGTGGCTTTGTGGGGCAGGCGGGAGCAGGACTCAGGCACGCCACCAAAGGGCATCCCTCTGAGCCATTTCTTTGACCTTCCCTCTCTGCTTTCCCCACCGCCCCCCCACCCCCACCCCGAGTTCCTTCTCCTCCCTCCGATGTGTCGCGGGTTTCCCCCCTCATCTCCTCCTCACCCTTCCTCTCACTGAACGTCTCCGCTCTGCCTAGACGGTGGCTGCATCGATGCAAAATGGGTTGTGGCAATTCCTCAGCCACCAGCACCTCGGGAGGGGGTGAGTGTTTCAGGAATCTCCGTGTGGATGTGTCAGTCAGCGGTGTGATGGCTGGTTGGTGAGCGAGAGGCTGTCACCGTCTCTGCGGGAAGGAGGAGAAGGTGTTTTGGGGGTACATGAAGTCTGTCGGGGGGAAACGCTTACGCTCAGGAAGCGCATCTTTGTGGGTGCATGCTGGTTACTTGACTTCATTCATGAAAACATCTTCTGCCCTGTCTAAAAATCTTTCTTGCTCTATATTAATGACAAGAAATTTACAGAATCCTTCTTGCATTTTGCAATTATGTTCACATTTAAGAGTTAATACCCTGAAGATGCAGATGCTGAGTCCAGTTTGGCAAAAGCCCTGATCTAAGACTCGACTGCATCTATACAAACATCTTGACTTTCATACAGTTGCAACATCTGGGCATTTCTTTTTAGTTTGTCTGGGGTTTTTCCGTCGCTGTCTTGCCTTCCAAGGCAAAACTGACATTCACTCATCCTTGTCTCCCCACTTGACGGATACAGAGTGTG